TTCAGGAAAACTTGGCTTATTAGGCAAATCGGGCCTTGCATAGTAGGCTCAGAAGTGCGTTCTGGCTATTAGGTACGACATATATATATATATATATACATATGTCGTACCTAATAGCCAGAACGCACTTCTAAGCCTACTATTCAAGGCCCGATTTGCCTAATAAGCCAAGTTTTCATGAATTAATGTTTTTTCGTCTACCTAACCTACCTAACCTAACCTAACTTAGCTTTTTTTGGCTACCTAACCTAACCTTACCTATAAATATAGGTTAGATTAGGTTAGGTAGGGTTGGTTAGGTTCGGTCATATATCTACGTTAATTTTAACTCCAATAAAAAAAAATTGACCTCATACATAGAGAAAAGGGTTGCTTTATCATTTCATAAGAAAAAATTATAGTAAATATATTAATTCAGGAAAACTTGGCTTATTAGGCAAATCGGGCCTTGAATAGTAGGCTGAGAAGTGAGTTCTGGCTACTAGGTACGACATATATATATATATATATATATATATATATATATATATATATATATATATATATATATATATATAGTATATGACGAGTATATATATATATATATATATATATATATATATATATATATATATATATATATATATATATATGCAAATACTGACACAATGATCCCTGATTGGGAATATTATAGTTGTAAGGTTGGGGGGGGGGGGGTTGTGGGAAGAGTAGTGGTGGTTATAATAAGAATAGCAGTGATTGTAGCTAGAATGGTAGTAGTTGTGGTGGCTGTGAAGGTGGGTGGTGGTGGTTGTTGTGGGATGGGGTGGTGGAGGTGGGCCTCACACACACACACCAACAAAGTAAGCTTAATATATTCGATCTTATATCACCTGGGTTTCATTTCTATTTAACATTTCATATATTTTTCCTCGTCCATGATATTGACCTGAAGTTGAGTCAGGGACCCTGACCTTGAAGGTCTAACGTCATGTCAATAATTAATGTCTCAGTGTCACCTGACGAGTAGTGACATCCCAAGAGTCTGGTAACAGGCTTTGAAGTTTTAAAACTATTCCAAATTGGAATAGGCTATTTTTTTTTTTAGAGTAGCCTATTTTTATCACTGGTGACCCGTAGCCATGGAAATGCAACTTTAGAGGAAAGGCTGATAACAGGAAACTAGATTTTATAAATATTTTCCTGAAATAGGGATTTAAAGATCTGATGAAAGTTATAGCGCACTCGACTCATTATAAGGGAACCACCGAATATTCTGACTTACGGACAATACCATTAGTTCACTAGAGACAAAACTATATTAGTTCACTAAATATATGTATATATATATTTAGTGAACCCCCCCCCCCAAAAAAAAAAACAGTATAAATCAAACTTTTTGGTGTAAGTGATTAACATTTAGGTTATAATTAGTAACGTGAAATATATTGGAAAAATGGGAGGATACCATTAGAGCAGCGAGACAGATTACTCAGTTTATATCACACAATTTGTTTAATGAGAAAACAATTTGAAGGAGAACTAATATAAACTAAATAATACCATAACATTATTGGAATTCGTACACATTCAGTATTCTACATCAACAGATTCTTAGGCTATACAGCTCAAAATCACTCAAACCACTCAGTTCATATAACAGATCAGGCTTCACTAGGACTCAAAATGTCTTTCAGTTTCTCATTTCATTGTGATAGTAATTGATTCATAAGCTGTGGATTTCCCTGTTCTCTCTGCTGATTAGTTGTTGAATGCTATCCTGAATACCGGCTCCACCACTCTATATATTATTACTCATTCCAAGATTGAATTTGCTAACAATTTAGCTGATATTTCTGGAAAAGTTGGCGTGGCCAGGGAGTTTATTTTACGTGGACTTAAAATGCACTAGTAAAAATATATATAGGAGTCAACGTTTTCCATCGCCAACCATCAACAGGAAACGACGACACGTCAATCACCTTCCTTCCTTCCTTCCTTCCTTCCTTCCTTCCTTCCTTCCTTCCTTCCTTCCTTCCTTCCTTCCTTCCTTCCTTCCTTCCTTCCTTCCTCTCTTGTTGCATTATATGTAAGAAAATTAACTTGGAGATGTGCAAGGACACGATCCTGGCCGCCAGCCTTCACTTGCTGCGCTAAAATCTTGGTATTGATTTAAAAGGAGGTGGACGAGAGAGGCAGGAAGCACTCCACCAGTAAGACCTCCACCGCTTCACTCCTCGAGGTCCACCTCCACTATGCGTGTATAGTCACCCTTAAATATATATATATAAGTAAATATGATAATAAACACGAGCGAAAAGAGTTACTGCTTTGAACCAATGATGGTCGACAAGCGGGGCTTAAGAACCGATGGTAAACCCTGTAAGTTCTACTAGGTGAGAACAGCTGGGCGAGAACACGCACGCACGCACGCACGCGCACACACACACACACACACACACACACACACACACACACACACACACACACACACACACACACACACACACACACACACACACACACACACACACACACACACACACACACACACACACACAGCTACTTAAGTAACATGACAGAAATCGATAAAGTGAAGCCTGTCGGCTGATAAGAGGAGACACTTCCTTATCTCCCCCGTCGTCACGCATAGCATTGGTTTCTGTCATTCCTCCACCACCACTGCCACCACCACCACTGCCATCACCACCACTTCCACCACCACTACTTCCATCACCACTACTTCCACCACTGCCATCACCACTACTATTGCCACTGCCGACATAGTGTGGTTGTGGGTTGTTACCGATACTGAACCCTCAAGCCCTAGCAATTCCCTCCGGGTTTTCTGCATCGCTGATGATGGATCCAAGTCTGCAACCTTGCAGGCAAAGTTCAGCATCCCACAGCTGCTCAAACATCTGCCAAGTAATCCACGGACTCTCCACGCCAAGTTGTACTCACCTAGTTGTGTTTGCGGGGGTTGAGCTCTGGCTCTTTGGTCCCGCCTCTCAACCGTCAATCAACAGGTGTACAGATTCCTGAGCCTATTGGGCTCTATCATATCTACACTTGAAACTGTGTATGGAGTGTGTGTATTGTATATTCAAGTGTGTGTGTGTGTTCTCGTTCTCAAATTCTTGTGTAATGACTCACATTGTATTTTAATCTTGACATAGTGAACCTTAAGTTAAATTGCCTGAATTGTGATATATATCATATTTAAATATAACTGATGACTTTATGGTTTAAATTGTCTTTACTCAACCACCGCAAGCACAAATAGGTGAGTACACACACACACACACACACACACACACACACACACACACACACACACACACACACACACACACACACACACACACACACACACACACACACACACACACACAGTCGTAATCTGACCCCCATCCAGGTCAGACGTGATCAAGTGTGTAGGGGGGGGGAGAGAGGGTGGATACTGTGCATAGTGTAGAGATACTGTGATTTGAATAGTGGAAAGTGAACTAGCAATGCTGGAAACTGTGAATGTGGAAATTAGAAGCTCAAGACTTTGAAGACGACGTGCCGGGAAATACTCACCTATTGTGGTGGGAGGAGGGTGAGGTAACTGTCACCCGTCCTGCTTAAGGTGGTCTACTCTGCAGTGACTGGCTCAGCAAAAGTAACTAGGTCAAGAAGCTGCATGAAGGAACTCACAATGGGACGAGTAGATAGGATTGTAGAGAGAGCTTTGGAGGACTGGGTAGTGAGGGGTAAACTTTGGATGGAGGAGATAATCTTGGAACAGAAAAAGTATTTGGACACAAAATGGGAATGTGAGAGGGCCAAATAGAAGCAGTGGATAGAGGGATTTTATAAAGGGGAAAATTAGGAAGATGGAAAAAGAGTGGGGGGGGGGAGGGGGAGGCAGCAACTGAAAGATTGTAGAGTGGGGTCACAATATGTCATGAGCCATTGAAGCAGGAGTGATGAGAGAGATAATGACAAGGAACTACAGAAGAATAGAACAATTGTAATACAGGGGACTAATAGAGGAACACCAGCCTTCACAACACGAGAGGATACAATATGAAAGACTAGAGCTGGGAGAGATCATGAGATGTTTACATGCTGACTGAGCGATGGCGGAGTTTGTCATATATCACACCACATTGGACCACATACCTCGGGTACTACGAATTCATCTGTTTTGGTAGAATTTACCAATGTACACGCAGTTGAATATATACTAAGGAGGTCAGAGAATTTCATGACAGCAGAACCACTCTGACCGCACATGATCCTGCTCTGCCCCACACCCCCCGTTCGAATCATGCCCACGCCCTACCCTCCCGTCCACACCCTGCTCACCCGCCCACCCACACCCTGCTCACCACCCGGCCCCCGTCTAAATCTTAACAAACACACAGTGATGACTATTCCCCCTTTTCAATGGCTACTTTAAAAATAAATCTTCAACCCTGGTGTCAAGATATAACAGCCTTGTTGTTGAAGGCGGAAGAGTTACTGATGTATGAGAAAAACACACTACAATCCCACCACACCTGTTCTCATTATATAGGCTACACCTATATGAATATCCTGGCGGTATATTATGTCATGTTCCGCCAGGATATACATATCTAATGCACGTGTCACAGAGGGTATATATTTAAATGTATAATTAAATGAGTTCGAAGAATAATAAGGGATTCTGACGGGCTTTAGATATAAAAGCACAAAGAAGAAGAGCGACCATTAATATAATATATAAAGATTCCACAAATCCACGACATTTCAAATATATCACATAATTATATACGAGGGTCTCCATGTCCGCCTCAGGCCAGCTCGGAAATTTTTCTGAATTTTGATATAATCTTCCCTCGATGCCATTCCTGAAAAATGGTGCGCTTAAAGGTGATGCTTCAGCGGTCGGCCCTCCCTCTCCCCCGCCCTCCTCACCGCTGACTACTGAAGTGCTGCTGGTGGAGGGAGAGGGGGTCGAACTCCACCCCCTCCTTCACACAACGGGCATGGAGGCACCAACTGCTCCAGTTTCCCCAAGCACAGAAGATGGACCGCTGAAGGATCGGCAGTGAAGAAAGTGGCAGCCATCTTGCCGGGTACACAAATGCTATGGTTCCTCCTGTGATCCCGTCGTCTTGTGTGGACGACGGAACACAGGCTGGCTGGCTGGCTCTAACCTAACGTATTCGACTATTGTAACGACTATTCAATGTTCATGTATAGTCTACGTAACGGTGTCATGCGTGTCGGAAACACCAACGGGTCTATCCTCACCCAGAACCTATATAAACCTGAATAAACATTTGATTTGATTTGATATACAATATTGCTGACGAACGTGCACGGATGGAGAAATAAGGAAGACTATTTTGTATTCAGATAGCCGGGTACTATCTACTACTTTAGCACTAGCTGGCCGGCACGTACGACTTATAAGGCAGTTTACAAACGAGTATTTTCGTCAGTTTATAGCAAACGCACCCCTGTTAGGTTTGGTTTGGCTACGTTCGGTTATGTTTGATTATAGGCTAGGTTAGGTTTGGTTATATGACAGGTTAGGTTTGGTTATATGACAGGTTAGGTTTGGTTATTTGACAGGTTAGGTTTGGTTATATGACAGGTTAGGTTTGGTAATGTCAGGTTAGGTTTTAAGTTAGGCTAGGTTAGGTTTGATTATATTAGGTTAAGTTATGTTTGGTTATATTTTGTTATAGGTTTAGTTTGGTTAAACTTGACCAAAACTTCAAGGTATGTTACATTCAGTTATAGAAAAGTATCGTTTCTAAATACCGAAGTACTTGATCCTTAGATGACTGGGAGATAAGCAGGTGGGTGAGAAATGTTAGAAATAGCTTAAGCTACTCTATCCTTTTGAGATGTATTTTATTGTCTCAATAAACGTACTTGAACTTGAATAACAAGAATATATAATCCATGTGAAATTTTCATAATCCATCTGGGTGACAATGGGATATGCAATTACCACATATGACTATTCAAGAACTCTTAATCCATACCTGTCATGTTGATATGTAATGTTGAATCGATGCTGATCCTATGTAGATTTAATGTTACTCGGTCATATTTTGCCTGGTGGGTCACAATCACTGGTTAATTGTAATAACAGTAATATGTACAATGTCTTTACCTCAAAATATATATTTATTTTACTTAAAGCCCAATAAAAATATTCATATGAACAAATAATATGAAAGAAACTTACACTGATCGATATGCCTAAATTCTATATGCTTAGAATTGTTATTTATAACATTACTTCATAAAACAAACAGGTAATATATATATGTATGTTTGTATCTCATCTGTTTAGTCTACCTTGACTATGGGGACCCCACTTGACCTAGACTACCCAGAGGAATATACCTGGAGTTAACCCCGCCCGGGGTTAACTCCCAGTATACTCGGTATACTCCCGGTATATATATATATCACATCTGCAGATAACATAGCTAACCTATAACTCTTGCAGCAGCATTGCCGTCATGGTTATACATTCTGTCGTTACTTGCCTTCGATCAGCCACTCTCCTTCCTTCCTTCCTTTCCCCACATCTCTCTAACACACACACACGCAAGTACGTACGTTCCATTATATAAAGACGACGCAATCCAGAGACACATTGGGGAATTTATCGGGGGAGAGATATGCAGCCTCTCCAACAAATGAAATTCTGCCCTCCCACCAAGGAATTCCCAATAGGCTATTCACAGCTTCGTCCAAACATTGCCATTTCCGGAAAAAAAAAAAAACCCACACTGCCTCCGTGTATCCGCTAGGCTGATATCAGTGAAGTTAGTAAGTAATTATCAAAAGAAGGTGCCAAGCTGGGAGACTATGTAGCTGATATCGGTTAACTGGCTACACGAAGTGGTAACTCTCAACGGCTGAGCCATGGGAGGGGGAGGCAAGAGTTTCTCATTTCTGGCGACAATTTTAATATTTTAGAATACCGTTAAAAATAAATGTATGAATATTCAGAATATACAAATGCCAATGGTGAAATATGATGAAGAGTTTTGTATGTGTGTGTGTTGCTGCTGTGTCTTCAGCCAACTTGAAAAGCAACACTTACGTTACAATAACGTGGCTGAAAAAATGATGACTAAACCACAATTCAGAAGATTGCGATGTGATGACGTGTAGGTCCGTCTTGGTTCATTACCTTATTCTTACCTGCTTCTCTTACTATTTTACCTTATATATTTGCCTATACCTTCCTCTCTTCTTTCTGCAAATCTCAACCCATCCCGTGGGCGGTGGTGGAAAGTCACAGAGGCACATAATGGGTTCAGAAACTGAACGCCACAGTTCATTTACCTAAGCAATTAACAGTGTCTGAGCTAAATTGTTGACAATACCAGACAAAGTTGACAATACCAGGCAAGGTTGACACGCCAGTGACAACACCAGGCAAGGTTGACACGCCAGTGACAACAGCAGGCAAGGTTGACACGCCAGTGACAACACCAGGCAAGGTTGACACGCCAGTGACAACACCAGGCAAGGTTGACACGCCAGTGACAACAGCAGGCAAGGTTGACACGCCAGTGACAACACCAGGCAAGGTTGACACGCCAGTGACAACACCAGGCAAGGTTGACACGCCAGTGACAACAGCAGGCAAGGTTGACACGCCAGTGACAACACCAGGCAAGGTTGACACGCCAGTGACAACACCAGGCAAGGTTGACACGCCTTTGGCAGCATCAGGCAACGTTGATACATTGATGACAACACCAAGCAAGGTTAACATGCCTCTCACAACACCCGTCAAGGTTAATCTGTCCAGGGGGGCAACATCACCATGGCTACGCATCTCGCATAATTCTCTAGTCTTTCAATAACCGGTATGGCGATTAGTGATGCGATATACATCCCCGGGGGTATATTTAAAGGAATGGTGTGGGAGGTTGGTACCTGCTTCACTCTCGTCTCTCCCTCTTCCACTATCACCCTTCTCTTCCCATTTATACTCCACTCCATCTTTCTCTCCCAACCCTCTTGTTTTCGAACATGAGATTCTCCCCCTGTTCGCTGTCACAAGAAATGTAAAGAAATCTAAAGACATTTTAATTGGGCCAATATGACCATCCCCGACCACCCTATGCCAATTCAGTACCTCTAAACATACATTTTGCAAACCTGGGTGAAGCTAGCCCCAAACATCTGGCCTCCAACCTCATAGAGACTCATAAATTGTCACAAGAGCTCTAGGGTATTGGATTTAAAAGAGAGACGACTGTCAAATACTTTTGTATAGTCTGCTGGCATAGTGGTTATAGTAATGGACACTCCAAGGGGCATGTCTGACTGGGTTCGAATCCTTCTGGGGTTAAGAGTTTTTCTGAGATATGACAGTGTCAGACCACGAAGGAAAAATTAAGACAGGAATTTCCTCAAGTACTTTCGTATTTAATAATACATCTTCAGAAGGATGAATATACATACATGTATATGATAAGAAGGGGTACCCAGGATGGTCTGTCTCTTCCCTTTCCCATCTGGTCTCCAACCGCAATCACAGATATTTACATTAAATACCAAATTTATTTTTTTTTTTTTTTATTAACATATTAGGTACATCTGCATTAGTGCAGCTGCCCTAGACTATATGAAGTGGAGTACAGTGTGTCAAAAAAGCTAACTAGGTGATGCTAAAAAATCCCCATCACACAGGATGGTTAGTCATACAGAGGCATGTGATAAGCGGTCTGCACTGGCAGACTCCGGATGCATTTTGAGGATATCAACACCACAAGATTGAATAAGGTAGCAGTTCGTCCTGTGCCAATGAATAAATCTAGGGACTCCGCCAGCCACCTTTTACTAACTTTGTTGGGTTGGGGGGTGATCACTTTTGGACTTTATTCCCTTTTAATAGGACCATTTGGACCGACCCAGACCAATCTATCTCCGTCCCATACGACAGACCATTCACCCTGCAAAGTTGGGTGAAGCTACCACTAAGCATCTGGCCTCCAACCTCGTACATACATTATCTTATGTACTACATTAATAAGATTTGGAAATAGATGGAATCAGATCAATCTTAGCACGGGTAAATATATTGCCGTTCCACTCATTGTTAAAAAGCAAAAATTTAAGATATATTTGAAACCGATGATTTAATCATATCTTTCAAGGCCACTAGGCATATTTAAATACATTTATTCTATACTAGAGGTATCTGGGCCTCACTCCCGCCTCTTCCATTGTCTCAAAACTTGCAATCTCAACCAAGGCACAACTTAACTACAACTTTTCTTACAATCGTTATTTGATGCAATGTTGTACCAATGTAGTTAAAACAAATTTTGTGGTTATGTGCAGACGATGAGTCACAATAACGTGGCTGAAGTATGTTTATCAGACCACACACTAGAAGGTGAAGGGACGACGACGTTTCGGTCCGTCCTGGACCATTCTCAAGTCGATTGGTCCAGGTCGGACTGAAACGTCGTTGTCCCTTCATCTTTTAGTGTGTGGTCTGGTAAACACTTTGTGGTTATGTTGTAAGCTGGGATATTATGATCAGATGACAAACTTGAACAATTCTGGAAAACTAAACCTCCATTCAAGACTTTGAGTTGCTGGGATTCTGTATAGATAATCCTTCTTTCAGAGGGGAAACTATGACTGACCCCAAACAGCTTATGAGTTCCATGTATCATCTAGAAAAAATTTGGCCTCCAACTTTAAACAGACCGACTGGCCTTTTTTCTTGGTATGTACAATCACTACATAGATAATAGACCAGTGGATAACCATTTAAATTTATATTTAGTAAATAATTCATATTTATCCTCATACCCTCACAAAGCCACTAAGAACGTTTGGGTATGATTATAAAAACTTGCCATTAAAATTCAGGACATGTAGAGTAAATATCACAAATGAATCAAATATCTGAATGTGCATTTTAGTTTACAAATACTGTACTGTATATGGATTGATTTTGTGCTTAAGGTCGAGTGTAGTTCCCAAGAGGTTTGGCCACAAGATCAGAACTCCCCTTCCCCCAAAAAATTAAATTTCGTTTCAAGACCATACATAAATGTTGCAGGTGTAAAGTTATTATGAGGCTCTTAAAAATATTACATAAACAGAAAATGTATATACAAAAGTAGATATGAGGCTTTATTGCTCAGCATATATAGGAGCTGAAGAAATGCTATTATAAAAAAAGGTACCATGAGGGGTACAGCACCACGAGAGGTGCTGCACCTCACGTGGTGCTGTACCCCTCATATTTGAAAGGCGCTAAAGTTAGCTCAAGATGCTAATACGAGTACAGGACATAAGGGAAGTGATATAAAGGTACCCAATTCACCAAGGATTCAATCAAGTGATGCAAGGTTAAATAACACAAACATTGATATTTAATACTATATTAACACTGTCTCTGATACATATATACATTTACTGTAAAATAAATACTTAACTTAACACAAGCAAAATTTTTTACACAAGCAATTATACATTTTGTTTTTTTAAAATGTACCCTACACGAGGTATATATACAGTTCCATACAAATCATTTTATAAACTTTTATTATAAGTGACCTGTACAATTTTTAATCAATATATGCATATATAATCACTGCTGCTGCAGGTGAAAAGATGACCATCTTATATAATCTTGATTAAGTAACTATCAAAAGAAGACGCCAAGCCAGGGAGACCATGTAGCACCATCAAAGGTGCAGGATATTCAAAAGGTGATAAATATCAGTAAGAATGCCAATATGAGTAACAAAAGCACATAACGTGAGCGACATCAAAGGTATCCGATTCGCCAAGGATTCTATTGCAGGGCAAGTGACCGCGAGGGACAGTTGGGAAGCAAAAAGAGACATCCTGGAAGTCAGGGGCCAGATTCACGAAGCAGTTACGCAAGTACTTACGAACGTGTACATCTTTCCTCAATCTTTGACGGCTTTGGTTACATTTATTAAACAGTTTACAAGCATGAAATCTTCCCATTCAACTGTTGATATTGTTATAAACAGCCTCCTGGTGCTTCGGAGCTCATTAACTGTTTAATAATTGAAAACAAAGCCGCCAAAGATTGAGGAAAGATGTACAGGTTCGTAAGTGCTTGCATAAGTGCTTTCGTGAATCTGGCCCCATGACATTCAACAAGGGAATGTCCCTCTTACGATATGACTGTAAGAGGAACGGTGTAGTTCGGACAATAAGGAGCCGGGCGACACTCCATTAAGTGCCCGTTAGATAAACGTGTATGGCCAATACTTAACCTCAACATACCTGTTTCCGTCCGCCGGTTACGGTGGTAGGAAGAAGGCCAAAGGGAACACGTTACCCTTAAGAGCATGCAGTTTGTTACAATAATGCTGACCAAAAAGTCGAAACAAATTTTCCCATAAGAAATAATGTAAATTGAATTAATCCATCCCACACTCCCAAAAATATTAACTTCAAAATACATTCCATACATAATACACACACACATTCTGTACTATAGTATGTACAAGTTATAGCTTATGTTTATTGTTGACTCTTGTTGGCATATGGAAGACGGTGAGGAGAGGGAAGGAGGAGAGATGTTACTGTCTAGAAGGAGAGTCCCCTTCCATTATAGCATCAGGAAGTGATGACTTCTCTGGGGGTACTCCCTCTCCTATGACATGATTGCATACCACTAAGACCTGGTTGTGGCTCACTGCTTGTTTTTCCTCACTAAGAACCTTTCCAAAGGCTTTTTTTCCTACAATTTAACATTTGTCTGTAGTGAGGCATCAGTGTCATTGAAAACGTTAAGGGCAATGGCCTACTGCAGCTTGATTTGGGCGAGTCACTTCAACAAAATTTGCATTTCTTCCCATACTGCACACCACTTCTTAAGCGTTAAGGAAGGGACATTCTGTTCTGCCGCCACCTTCCCTGAAAAATTTTCCTAGGTTGTCTAGTTGCTGCTCCTTGTGAAGACCTAGTTCTTTGCCGTGTTCCTCAACCAACTCAACTCTCACAACACTGTGAATGCCACTTCCTTTGCTAAATTTCTCTACAAATCCCCTGCTCGCCTTAAACTCTTTCGTATCAGCATTACTCGTTCAAGGGATTTTCTTTAAAAAGATCTTCATGCAAGTCTCACTTTTTCACAAATGATGGCCTTTGAAACACTATCACCCGCTAACCCCTTGTTGTTTATCCAAATTAATAACTTTTCAACATCTTCAAGTGTTTGTGTTCTAAATTTTGTGAATATTGATATGCCTTTTGCGACTTTAGCACTCACAATGTCCATTTTCTTGGCAAATACTGTGGATATCATTGACATTTGTTGCACTGCCTAGCTAGATCAACAACTCACACACTGTCTTCAGGTTTACGAATGATCTCTTGTTTTTCCTCTATGGTCATCCTCATATATGTTTTCTTAGGTTGAACCTTGCTACCGACTTTCTTAGGACCAATGACATGATGTATAATAGTTACTTTTATGTTTAAACACCCCAAAAAAAAAACGAAACCAATGAAACTCTTTACAAAGAATTTAAGCGCAATCGTCGCTAAGCAGCCGGTCTGGTGAACTGAACCCGCCACACACACACCGTAACTACGACGTTGGTACAACGTTCGAACACCTAACCAGTTATAACAACCAATACAGCAAGTTGTAACAACGTTCTAATACGTCATAAACACGTTAAGCCAAGATGCAACAACTTTATTACAAGTTGCAACAAGTGGAAAATAGACAGTTACGGTTTGTTTCCAGGGAAGTGGGGTCGCTCATGCCACCAGGAACCACGCGTTCCGTCGACCCATAAGAGTATCAACAAAGCGCAAGTCGAGGCAAAGGTTGTAAATTGAATTTTCTGACAATTGGGATGGCAACTCAAAACATTTGTAAGTCGAGGTTTCACTGTACAGCAAGGTACTGAAACCTATGGAATTATAAATGCACCTATCACTAAATCTTGAGGCAGGGCCCCTAAATAACTATCAAAGAAGGCGCCAAGCCGAGAAGGCTATGTAGCACGGCTGGGCTCTAAGCTAGATCTTACTCCTTGCACAGTATTTATGAATTTATGAGTATAAATAGTATAATATATATATATTTTATTGAGAGTACCACCTATATATATATATAGGTGGTATAGGTATATACATATATATATATTACACATGTATATCGTACCTAATAGCCAGAATGCACTACTTGGCCTACTATGCAAGACCCAATAGGCAGTGATTTTCCCATTTTCAAAAAAAATTGCTTTATTTGAAATATTACTACACTACATTAAGTAAGTGATTGACGTAGTTATGTTTGTTTACGTTAAGATAGGTTAGGTCATTACTACGTTAGTTTTAATTAGGAAAAAAATGAAATCTTAGTTTTATCATTTCATTAGAAAATCAAAAAGTCAAAATAGGTACAGTATATATGAATAAATACATGGGATGCACATTTATACATATACTGTATCTGTATATATGTATATTTTCAGTTATACATAATGAACATCACCGAGATACAACTTGTTAGAAAAAGAGAGCGTGCGCGCGCGCTTTTACTTGGGGGGGGTTCCTTTGCTTCCTGGGTGCAATGTCAAAAGAAAAATAATGTTTTTAGAACAATTCTTTTCGGCACACCACGGAAATGTAATTTAAAAGGCGCAGGAATTAAGGGCGAGGGTCCTAGTTATGCCACTAAAGTTTGTCTAGGTTCTATTACCAGGGTTATTCATTTTTTTTAGTTTGTCAATACAATGCAATACAATGAAATTCTGAAGTATTGTTAAGAATGGACTTTCAATGTGTCACTATATGTTATGATCGGTTTATTGAGCAATTGTTTTCCTGACAATTCACCGCTAACCTCCCCATGTGCAGAATTTAACTACAGTACAAATTCCAGAATAATTTTTGGGTAGTGATGGACAGAATATTCAGAATTGATGGGAAACCGCAGAGGAGAGTGAACACACACTCTGAACCGTAAATATTAGAAAGAACTTGTGTTAGTGTTGACAAATGGAATGCATTAGGAAGTGATGTGGAGGCTGACTCCATACACAGTTTCAAGTAAGTAATTATCAAAAGAAGACACCAAACCGGGAAGGCTATGTAACACCATCAAATGTGCGCGATAATCAGAGGACGCTAAATATCACCAAGGATGCCAATACGAGAACAGAAACGCACAAGGCGAACGATATCAAAATCCTGGAAGTCAGGACATTCAACAAGGATATGCACGACCGTAAGAGGGACAATGCAATTTGGACAATAAGGAGCAGGGCGGCGCTCCATTAAGTGACCGTGAGTTAAACAGGTATGGCCAATACGTAACCTAGCCAGAGCCGTTTCCCACCTCCAGTTACGGTGGTAGGAGGAAGGCCACTGGGACAAACTCCAGCAAAACTCTATCGATTTAAATTTACTAGAAATGAGAAACAGCCAACGTTGAATCTCGACCACCGGATGGACAGGATTAAAGGAGCCTAGAGCCACGAGGGCACTACGAGAGTAAACTACAGCCACAAAGGAGGAATGACAATGAGAAAGCAAGACACAGAGAGCATAAAGAATAGCATAAAGTTCTGCTGTGAAGACGCTAGCCTTCCAAGGGAGGCGACACGCACGTGTGGTCAGGAAAAACAACAGTAGCCCACACCGTCCGCAGACTTAGACCCATCGGTGAAGATGGAAATAGTGGGAATGCGAAGAAAAGGGCTCAAGGAAGAGGCGTTTCAGAATCGTAGGAGTGGTAAAGGCTTTAGTGATACGAGTCAAGGACGTATAAAACTTGGGAAGGGGGACTCTCCATGGAGGCAAGGAAGGAACAATACGAGGAGAAACATTAGAAATATGAACAGAAAGAGAATCCTGTAAGCGAGATAACTGGACAGAAAGAGGGAGACGATGAAGAGGAACAGGTGCTCCAGGAGGGGTAAAAGTTAAAGCAAGACAGAGGCGAGAGGAAGGATGTTGTAAGAACCGTACAAGATAGCGAAGACAGTAGCAATCACGGCGGTCCTGAAGAGAGAGAGAAAGCCAGTGTCAACATACAAACTGAGGGTGGGAGTCAAACGAAAGGCACCAGAGCCAAGACGCAACCCAGCATGGTGCAAAAGATCAAGACGGCGAAGAGTAGGAGGAGAAGCAGAAGAGTATGCAGGGCAACCATAATCAAGTTTAGACAGGACGAGGGAGGAATGCAAATAGAGGAGCGTGCGCCTATCAGCTCCCCAAGAAGTATGGGACAAAACCTTAAGTAGGTTAAGGGCCTTAGTGCATTTAACACAGAGATATGGGGCACCCAAGACAAACGAGTGTCAAAGAATAACCCCAAAAGCTTCGTGGAATCTTTGTACTCAAGGGGATGACCATAAAGTGACAAAGAGAGACGAAAAACGACCCGCTTCCGAGTAAAAGTCATGGCACAAGTCTTAGTAGTAGAGAACTTGAAGTCATGATTGGTGGCCCAAGATGACACGGCATCATCCGCAAGTTGAAGCCGCCATTGAAGGAGAGGTGAATCATCACCTCGACAGCAAAGAGTAAGATCGTCAACATAAAGAGCAGAGAAGATGCCAGAAGGAAGGGAGGTAAGAAGACCATTGAGGGCAACAACAAAAAAAAAAGTAATGCTCAGGACACTACCTTGGGGCACACCTTCATACTGCCGAAAAGAGGCAGAGAGAGCAGTACCAAGCCTGACTCAAAAGGTAGGATGCAAGAAAGCTTTGAAGGAAGAGAGGGAGATGACCACGAACACCAAAAGAACGAAGTTGGGACAGAATATGGTATCTGCAGGTCGTGTCATAAGCCTTTTCTAGGTCAAAAAGTATAGCAACAACGGAGGTCTTTGCAGCAAAAGCAGTAGGTGGTGATGGTATTCCAAGAAAAACATCAGACAGACATTTACCATACGCTCAAAGAGTTTGCAGAAACTCGTGAGGGCAATAGGGCAGAAGTCCTTAGAGGACGTACCGAGAGACCCTGGTTTCCGAATAGGGAGTACAACGGCATTGAGCCAATCCTCAAGGACGGACAACTACTCCCAGACCTGGTTATACAGACTCGGTAAATACAGAGACGTGCACGGAGGGAGATGGCAAAGCATCTTATAATGAACGTCATCCGAGCCCGCTTCCACAGGGGGCCAGGGCAGATTGAAGTTCAGAAAGAGAAAGGATCGTTATAGAGAAGGCGGAGACGAGTGTGGAAATCTAAAGCATAACATTCAAGAACAAGCTTAAGAAGAAGGAAGGATTGAGGAAGATGAGAACCAGAACTAACAGAAGAAAAGTGGGAACCCAGTTCGGTCGCAACCGCCACTGGATCCGCCACAAGAGTTCCACGGAGATGGAGAACCGGCGAGACATCTGGAACAAACTTGCCCGCAATCTTGCAGATCTTCCAGACCTGCGGCAGAGGAGTATTTGACCTAATGGTGGAAACATAAGATTTCAAACTCTCATGTTTAGCTGTACGGATGGTCCTACGGGCCACCACACTTGCCTTCCGAAACAAAATAAAAGAATCGGACATCTGCTGGCGGCGGTGTTTCTTTCAGGCTGCACGCTTACAGCGGACAGCCTGAGCACAGTCCGCATTCCACCAGGGAACGCACTTCCGTGTGCCCCGGGAGGAAGAGCGAGGAATAGAGCGGAGGGCAGTGTTGAAGACAGTATCATAAAAGAGGAGGAGGGCGCGAGGAAGAGGCAGAGAGGAGAGGTCAGAGAGTAGCACGGAGGGTGAATAGGCTCCAGTCAGCACACAGTTTCAAGTGTAGATATGATAGAGCCCAGTAGGCTTGGGAATCTGTACACCTGTTGATTGGCAGTTGAAAGACAGGACCAAAGAGCCAGAGCTCAACCCCTGCAAGCACAAATAGGCGAGTACACAGTATTACAATGACGAATGTACTCTGCAAAAACCAGTCCCTTGCTTTCTAAATCATTTGTATACATAAAAGTAGCTTCTGGATAAATCCATCTGAAACACATTTAATGCAAATATCCAAAACCCTTGTCCCCACCTGTAGAGGACAATACAGTATGTCTACTATAAATATTTAACGAACTTTGCAATGCAGATTCTTCAAATCACAAGCCTCGAGTACCTTGCACGACAGTGTCGCCCCCATACCATCTCGCATGTTTGAAGAGATTTCTTTGGGAATGTAGTGATATTTGGTACTACACTAATTTTCTGAAACACCATAAAGCAGCAAAAGAAAATATGGAACAATGTTGTTGATAAAGTTACACTGTTGCATATGTTATGAAAATTCTGGAAAATGTTTCTTTTTGCCATTCATTAGAGGAATTATTTGAGAACATTTACAGTACTTAAAAAAAATATATATATACCATATATATACATAAACTATACAATTAAATGTTATGAGTATTTCAAGACTGGCCAGCGTGCTGCTCTGAAGGCAATGTTTCAGTACCATTAGTAAATAATTATAATGCAAGTCCTTCTTCTTACTATAACATAAAGCAATAATTTACTAACATTTAAATAAAATACTGTACAGCATTATAGTAAACAACCTCATAAACAAAATAATTATTCAAGATGCTTGTGGGGGCATTTTGCCCACACAACCCAAGTTCAACTTTTACAATGATCATCATGTACTGGGCTGACAATGAATCAAATGTAAAATCTTTGTTCATTAATGTACAATTATACAAAACCACCAATGCCACACAAGACATGGTGCTAAATGAAATAGATAAGTTAGTTTTTATTTGCCAACAATATGAGATACATTATAAAAGACTATATAGCAGTTTAAAGCATAAAATCAATAAGATACATAAAATGTAAAGTAAGTAATTATCAAAAAAAAAAAAAAAGGCACCAAACCACGAAGGCTATGTAATAAAATGTAAAGGTATCTAAATAAAAACATTAAATTATAGAAATTAACACAGCCGCTGCATTTTACAGATTCAGAGGCAGTAACTTCAGCACATTTGCCAGGATTGAACATGTGGTGGTATTCAGCAGTCACAAATGTCTACACATTTTTGCCGTTACATCCTTGGTTGGTGTCAACAGAACCAGATCAGCAACAGAGCAAAACATTAGCCAGCTCTACTGTTTCTTACCTTTTTCAACAATAATGATTGATGGCAACTAATAAAGGAATAAAAACAGCACCTCGTTTAACCATCTTTGAGTGACACATTTATAAAGAGGACAATACATTATTTCACTAACTTTACCCAACAGGAAATATATAGGTATCTAGTGATTACAGGACATACTTTTAAGCTTAATTTTCTGATTTTTTTTTTTTTTTTTTACATATTCAGCTTTGACAAATGCTGACAGCATTAGTCCCAGAAGCAGTCAACCCCACAGCAACCGTATACAAGATTCTTTTCATATGGGCAGGTAAAAGGCATAGACCACCACCTGTGGCCAGTGATCCAGATGAGGGGAGCAATGCACCATTCACAGAGCTTATGTCACCATTTATAGGGCACAAGTCATTGGACAGATCTGCTGTTATTCACTTGGCCGCCTGAATACCATTTAGATGCTCGGGCAGCACCTCCCACTTGTTTCAGAATTCTAATCAATGATGTAATAATGCTTATTTCTTTAGTAGGTAACACTAGCCAGATAAATGTCAAAAGCTTGATAATTTCAATGAAAAACATTTCTCATATGATTCAAAACAATTTTAAAGAACGTGAACCCTTATAAATTATATGAAAGTCGTAAATCAAAATTAAGAATTCCCATAATCCATCAGTGCTGCAAGCTTACAGCATGAACAGTCTAAATTCCCCCAAGGAATGCACTCTTGCTGCATGAATGAGTCAAAGAGCAGATCAAGTCAAGTTAATGCAGAGAATAGATTGAGGACAAAGTAGTTATGTGAAGGGAATAGAAGCAAAGGTGGTAAAGAGTTTCTAATCAGCTTTGAGGAAATACAACAGGTAATAAGGGAGAGGGTGACCAAAAGAACTGAAGGGCACGAGAGTAAGGAAACGGTCATTCATGGCGGTATGGAGGTTGTCAGTAAATGAAAGCAGTACAAAGAATAATTCTGGTGAGAAGTGCAGATGCAAGATTTATGCGTCAGCTCACCAGTACTGTATTTAAAATAAATAAGGATGAAGTAAGGGAAGGACTGAAAAAATTGACAAGAATTAGTAATAGAATCATTCTAGAATCCATATGTACCAGTAAAATTCTGTACAAGGATAAAGATATATGTGAAAGATCTAAAAGGAGCTAAAAATCAACATATAAGATCAGAAGACGAGATAAAACAGGAAAGACATTCGAGTCACAAAAATATAAATGGCAGTGGAATGAATGTTCTAAGGAAAAATAAGGAACTATCCAGATGTGAGGTTTTGTTATCTTCCCTCAGAGTTGAGCAAAGTCTGCTACTTCAGAACCCCATGCCTATGCTCCAGGCTCGGTTCTTGTTCAAGCTGCAAACGACACCAGTTCAAAGAATTTTGGACATTTCTTACAGTTATAATCATATATATTAAAAATAATTTTCCCAACATTTGTCAAATATATAAATGTACGTTTCACCATTGTAAAAATAAAATGCATAGTTTGTTGAAAAAATCATGGCAATGGAAGTACATTTGTAACAAATGGCTTGATATGAATCTGTCCATTCAAGCAGGAATACAGGTATACCGAAGGAAATGTTTCAGATTTTAAACACGGATATGTTCCTAGACACACTGTAGAATCCATCTATGTAATAAATATAGTGCCAAGATCTTTATGAAAAATAGATAATGCCAAGAAAAATTATATTTGTTATCTAAGATAATAAAAATACTATTATACTGACATTAAGAAATAATGAATCGGGTTACTTTAAAATACTAAAATAAAATAATATACATGTGCAAGAGAAAAATACAGCCTAAGAAAATTTGACAAAATCCATCTACTCAGCACTTTGACGCTGTGATGACGTTTACGTAGTCATTAAAACAACACACGCAGTTCGGGTCATGACGTCAACAATTAATTTTTGCTTATTCTTATTAGTAAGTATAAAGATTAAGTGAAAGAGTTTAACATTGGGTTGTGTGCTCACGGGCAAAGCTCGGCCTACCTTGCGGTGCAATGCAGTGGTCCGCCGGGCCTGCAAAAGTGTTCATTTTTATAATTCTAAAAATTCTGACTTTGTACAATCAAAGTTTGCCACAGTCTTTCACCGAATAGATCCATATACAGAGTAATGTCATGTAAAATCAGATTTACCTGTATCTGAACCCAAATTGGATAATTCCTAACCAAACTTAAAAGGTGGCAGATGTGTTCTAGTGATACCAGTAATGTGTCACAAATGACTACAAGGAGGCCAACATGAGCGTAAAGAAGCAGTTAAAGACCACCAAAGTTTAAAACAAATAATATCATTGGTGTCTTGGACAGGCACTCAAAATTTGTCATCATAATATGAAGATTTATTATTTTAAAGGGAAGAGTAAAATAGGAAGTGGAAAAATGTAAAGACAAAGCACCTATCTATAATTTCCTCACACGCTCTTAATGTCATTAATGGTTAATGAACAGCTCATGAATGATCCTGGAATGGAACTGTACTAACAGATGTCAACTATAATACAATATAGGAACAAGTTTCACCAGTTATTCAAAACTGGTAGTAGCGAATCGCATTGTATAATGGTTGCTACTGAACACTACTTAGCAACATGCAACAACAACATTTTTATCACAAGCAGCACAATAATAGTAGATTGTGAAATTACCTGAACATTTGGTACACCTTCAGTTTCATTTTGACATTAAAAACGACAATCTCAATTTAAAGAGAAAAGCTACAATACTGTTCTGTCTATGAGGTACAAATTTTAAAATTAAACTTGCAACACATTTTTCTTTGACAGCTACACACAACTCCTGCACTATAAGCAAACTTACTGAAGTTCTACTAAAAAATACATTTGTGACATTTGTAGATCTAATTATAAGGCAGAGCAAAATTAACTGATGTACCTACTTTTAAAGCCAACGAACCATTGAAAACAAAAAAAAGATTCACACTTTTAAGCCAATTAACTTCTCCATGACAAAGCATATAGAGTATTGCAAATCCTGTCTACATTCATTGTGTTTAATGATGTTCTCGTATGTCTTACCACTTAGGGCACGCGTTTAAAAACCAGAGTCAATACTAGAACCATTTCTCTGGTCAAATTTTGAGCGGTTGGCCTTGATCATGTAGATGAAATATGTAAGGCACTCCTTTTCGGCTACTGGAACAGTTTTAAAATGTTTCATAAGAATCTGAAAGGAGGAAAGACCTATTAATTTTAAACAACACAAACTTGTTAAATATATAGTAAATCAGACTACGTATGAAAGGGCTCTAGTGAAAAAGGGGTTGAAAAAGTTTATAATCCAAGTACAGTAATGGAATCTTGATATTGAACAGGTAAACTTTTCTGGGTTAAATATGAAACAGGAAAGGAAGGCTTCATTAAACATAAGAGGGAGCATCACTAACCACAACACAGGAAGCAAGGCCTGGACCATTTTCAAGTTGATTCCTAACAAAATGTTTCATAGCAATGGAAATTGATCAATGCACAGTATGAGCATATTGCCAAGATCCTATATTAATGTGATTATTGTAGACCAGCATTAAACACATGTTCCTACTTCATGACTATGTGCAAGCACATAAATATAGTGTCAGACTTGGCTGTTAACAACTGTGGTTAAAAGCAATTCTACCACACGTGAACAGCTCAAATCTTGCTAAAAGTTACAGCATTTTACTTTATTTCAAACCTTGAATCTCATCTCCATTGGTACTAAATTCAGGATTATAAGGGGCCAAAGGTAAATACCATATCAATGCAGTTTCAGAAGAACTCGGAAAAATTCCATGATTGTAGTTTTTTTTTAAGGAACACTGTAGCATCCATTTAAGTTAGACTTGAAAATTAAATAGGTATTGTGATTATTATATACACAGATAGCAAAACTTTTTGACCAATTTTTGTATGTGGGACTAAGGATGGATTAGCATAACAGCTGCTTAGATCTCTTGAGATATCCATGATTCCAGATGTATGACCAATTCTCAAATAGGTCACAATTACTTCCTATCGTCATACCAAATCCAACACTTAATAATGCTTTGACTTAAGTAAATTTCCATGGATATTATTCCACTTCTTGGTGATGAGATAATAGATTTGTTTTTGTTTCCATTGAGTGGCAGTGGACAATCTGCTGGATTACTTGAAGCAGCAGCTTTAGTAGCATCATTAGCCCATTCTTTCTCCTGGCCATATCTGTAATCAACAAGCCAAAACACACTAAAATACATACAGTCTATCTAGCTCACTTTCTTCCTTCCAATTTATTGGGATGAAAACTACACTCCAAACTTATTAAGTCCAGCAATCATGCTTGCCTAATTTTGTCTTTTAAATGTAAATAATTAATATGCCATAAAAAATTTTCACCTAGTTTGAGCTATGAAGAAGACAGCGAGGAAAGGTCTGAACATTTCATAGTGAAAAATATACCGCTTTGCTCCAAATTCATAAATAGGTTTCATGAGTTTGGGAATGTAGTTATCGCTAGCCTATAATGCAACAGTACACAATTATTTGTGGTAAACTCACATCGACTAGCTGTGCTTTATTAAGTCCTGGGCGAGTTGGTATTTTGTAATGACGCTTATACCTCCTCAATGTGTTGACCTGTTGAAAAATAAACAAAATGTAGTGAACATAAACTTTTTAAGATAACTGCAAATGTCTTCTTAGCAAAAATATCTTGAGGTTATCTTGAGATGATTTCGGGGCTTTAGTGTCCCCGCGGCCCGGTCCTCGACCAGGCTTCCACCCCCAGGAAGCAGCCCGTGACAGCTGACTAACACCCAGGTACCTATTTACTGCTAGGTAACAGGGGCATTAAGGGTGAAAGAAACTTTGCCCATTTGTTTCTGCCTCGTGCGGGAATCGAACCCACGCCACAGAATTATGAGTCCTGCGCACTATCCACCAGGCTACGAGGCCCAAGATAAAGGAAGAACCAGATGGCAAACCTTCCGCTTGACAGAAGGTTTACATTTATTATTTCTACATTTAACCCTTAAGACTTTAGCTATGGAGAAGTGGTCACACCCACCTATGCACAAAAAAAAGCAACAATTCTTATAGAATTATTAACTTGTATGCAGAAAGTAAGAAAAACATGAAAAGAAGTGAATATTTATCATTTAACTGGGTGGACATGCTCTGCAAGGCTGCGCCTGGCACTTGTCAACACCAGGTGCTCGACTTTGTTGACACTTCCTCTTTAACATCAAATGTTTCACTGATTGTTTTATCACTTTCTTTATTGCATCCACAGAAAGCTTTTATATCCATATTTGCACCATACATGTAATACCATACATGTAGGTGGATATATTCAAGAGGCATTTGGACAGGTTCTTGAAAGTAGTGCCAGACCAATCAAGCTGTAGGGCCTGTGGGCCTGCGGGACGCTCGAAGCCAAGCTATCCAAGGCCGATCCAACATTATAGCCTGTTGGATCAAGTTAACCCAAGTCGAGCCTGGCCCCAGGCTAGGCTCAATGAGTAAAAGAACTCCCGAAACCCTCTCCAGGTAACTGCTGTCTAAGGGTTAAAAAGATTTTGAGGCTGCCTTACTTTGAGTGTCTACAATGAACTGAATGGAAGAGGATTTATTTAGGCCTATGGTCCAAAATACTACTACCATGGGTAATCTGTATAATATGAAGAAAAAACAGAAACAAAGCAAACTTATAAGTATTATTCAAGATAAACTACACAATACCAGCACAGCTTTCGAGTACCTAAACAAAAATCACAGTAACATTTGAAATAAAAACCAGATGTTGCATACACAGATTTTGTAGAAACATTTTGATATATGAACTGTAATCATACTTTAGGACACAAAATGAGGTATGAAGGGCATAACAGGTAAGTAAGACATTAAAGTTTCTAACAAGCAAATTATTCCCAGATGGCTTTCCCACAATTACACTCATTCTCAGATCAAATCAGGACCGGAACACAACCCAGTTTTGTGCCATCATGTGCCCATGACACAAAAATAAACATTACAATTGCTTTAGTGGAAGACACTATGGATACTGGAAAATAACCTGACATTCAACATTTGGTAAATACCAACTACTGTACTTCAGTTCAGAAGGACTGACCTTAAAATGAACACAGAATCAGCATTCAGAGTGAAATTAGAAGGTTAAAGATCTAAAAAGTGTCAGCACAATAATGCAAACACAGTACAATATCAGCCTGAAGTATTATAGTGGAGTTATAAAACCATTTAAAACAAAGGGATAAGGAGAAACAAGGTGTCTGACATTAAACTTTTAGCAAATAACTTTAGTAACTCATGGCTCTCTCCAAATTATCTGGAAAAATGCCAGTCAGGCCCCTTGGAAAATTTTGCCTAGTAACCAAGAAACAATAATAAAGTAATTCAAATACTAAGAAGAAAAAAGTCAGAAGTGCAAAAGCAATAAGTGTAAAAAACTAACCTGCAAATTATACAGCTCCACTTCTGGATGGTCTCCATCAAATTCACCAGAGTCTTCCTCCGAATCCCGTCGCTTACGTTTAACTCTGACACTTTGTATGACTCCTTTGTGATATTCACAAATATAGTTGTGGCTTGACTGTAAAGTGTAACAATGTTTTTATCTACACCTGTCCACTTCCCAATTTTAAAGAAAATTTGCCATGCAAATTAAAAGATACTGTAATCTTAATATAAAGTAATACTGTACATGTATTAACAGCTGCTGCTCCTACAATACATCCAATTAATTTATAGTATTTTACTAATAAAGGCAGATAGTAGGGTAAGCTGGTCTTTGCTACCCACAGAAGTACAGTACAGTACTGTGCTGTACCGCCCTTATGACAGTAACGTACTAAGATGGAAAGCCAATCACACACTAAATGGTCCTCTGACCTCGTTACATTTTCCTTTTAATACTTGTCACCCTCTAATATATGGACCACTGTATGTAGTTCACGATACATTAAAATACTTTGCATTCTAATGATTTTTCTACTACTTAGCTTGATTACCTAAAATTATCATATACAGTTCTGTATTTAATAAGTGGGTAATGCATTATACTTTACATATTTACTGTACAGAAAAATCATTTGGCTTCAACTGAAATTCACCTAAAAAAAGAAACTCCAATTGCACTGTCAATATGACCTTACCGCCGAATCCATATGAAGACGTAACTTTCTCTGTGCTACCGTTTTTTGTATTCGCTTATTGTATGCTGCATTCCCTGCCAACTGCGTGCACCGCTCCCCAGCATCAACTAAACAGCACACTTGATCATGTTGTGACCCCGAGTCCTCCTCTGTACTTAATCCATTCATTTTGACCGTAATCTGAAAAGAACAATTATGCTATAGCTACACAGTATGCCAGAACACAAACTCTTAGAAACTTGACAAACAAACCACTTTTTCAATACCACACTTTCATAAACCAAATCACCTCTTCATGATAATTATTCACAAGTAATGCAAAATATATTAATTCCTTGTCTGACTTACAGATGACATAATATAGGACAGTCTTTTAGCTCATATATTTGAGTTATGCAAAATATTCTGCAATGGCTGATCAGTTGGGTAACAAATAATTAATAAACTGTGACATAACTACAAAGTTATAGGTACCATATTATAGGGCAGGGCTGGGGCTAGGATCGAATCGGGTCAGGCCAGGCAGAGGCTAGGATCAGACCAGACTTGGCTAGAGGGGGGCTAGTGCAGGGTGTGACAGGAACCATATTAGGGCTGGACCAAGCCCTGCCTCAGCCCTTGTCCAGTCTAGCCAGCCCAGCATTGTCCTATCCTCTGGCCAGCATGGCCCTAACCTTTGTCCAGCCTGGCCAGCATGGCCCTAACCTTTGTCCAGCCTGGCCAGCATGGCCCTAACCTTTGTCCAGCCTGGCCCTAACCTTTGTCCAGCCTGGCCAGCATGGCACTAACCTTTGTCCAGCCTGGCCAGCATGGCCCTAACCTTTGTCCAGCCTGGCCAGCATGGCCCTAACCTTTGTCCAGCCTGGCCAGCATGGCCCTAACCTTTGTCCAGCCTGGCCAGCATGGCCCTAACCTTTGTCCAGCCTGGCCCTAACCTTTGTCCAGCCTGGCCCTAACCTTTGTCCAGCCTGGCCAGCATGGCCCTAACCTTTGTCCAGCCTGGCCCTAACCTTTGTCCAGCCTGGCCCTAACCTTTGTCCAGCCTGGCCCTAACCTTTGTCCAGCCTGGCCCTAACCTTTGTCCAGCCTGGCCCTAACCTTTGTCCAGCCTGGCCCTAACCTTTGTCCAGCCTGGCCCTAACCTTTGTCCAGCCTGGCCCTAACCTTTGTCCAGCCTGGCCCTAACCTTTGTCCAGCCTGGCCCTAACCTTTGTCCAGCCTGGCCCTAACCTTTGTCCAGCCTGGCCCTAACCTTTGTCCAGCCTGGCCCTAACCTTTGTCCAGCCTGGCCCTAACCTTTGTCCAGCCTGGCCCTAACCTTTGTCCAGCCTGGCCCTAACCTTTGTCCAGCCTGGCCCTAACCTTTGTCCAGCCTGGCCAGCATGGCCCTAACCTTTGTCCAGCCTGGCCAGCATGGCCCTAACCTTTGTCCAGCCTGGCCAGCATGGCCCTAACCTTTGTCCAGCCTGGCCAGCATGGCCCTAACCTTTGTCCAGCCTGGCCAGCATGGCCCTAACCTTTGTCCAGCCTGGCCCTAACCTTTGTCCAGCCTGGCCAGCATGGCCCTAACCTTTGTCCAGCCTGGCCAGCATGGCCCTAACCTTTGTCCAGCCTGGCCAGCATGGCCCTAACCTTTGTCCAGCCTGGCCAGCATGGCCCTAACCTTTGTCCAGCCTGGCCAGCATGGCCCTAACCTTTGTCCAGCCTGGCCAGCATGGCCCTAACCTTTGTCCAGCCTGGCCAGCATGGCCCTAACCTTTGTCCAGCCTGGCCAGCATGGCCCTAACCTTTGTCCAGCCTGGCCAGCATGGCCCTAACCTTTGTCCAGCCTGGCCAGCATGGCCCTAACCTTTGTCCAGCCTGGCCAGCATGGCCCTAACCTTTGTCCAGCCTGGCCAGCATGGCCCTAACCTTTGTCCAGCCTGGCCAGCATGGCCCTAACCTTTGTCCAGTCTGGCCAGCATGGTCCTAACCTTTGTCCAAGTCCAATCTAGCCAGCCCAGCCTGGCCCTAACCTGTCCTGCCCTGCCCTGCCCTCAAACCTGCATCATGTTGTGTCCTGCCCAATGAACTGGTGCCTGTCCTGATCTGCCCTACCCTCTGGCCTAACCCGTCCTGCCCTGTCTTCAGGCCTAACCCCTGCCCTGCCCACCCTTGTGACCAAGCCCCGCCCTGCCTTCCAGCCTAGTTCTTGCCCTGCCCCACCCTTCTACCCTTGCCCCTGCCCTGCCTTCTGGAATACACACACAACCTAAACTGCGCCACTGGCGGCTCGCTTTACTTGCCACACACAATACTTCCTCCTTGGTAACAGGTATCTGGAGGAAGCTAGAGAAACAAGGCCGCCTCTCACCTTGACAAATTTGCTGTCCTCGGGTTCCGAAGACTTGTGTGCGCGCACGGCGGTTACAATCGGCTTTCAATCTCGAAATAGAGTTAACACCGCAATACGCGTCCTTGTAGCCAACATTTAATGCCTTTAAAATGACCGACATCCAACGTAGGTTATCTCGGTTAGTATACGAGTTTCACTTGAATTAAAAACCTTAGATTGGGAAGGGTTCTATTAGCTGGGCGAGCGGGAGAGTTGCGAGGCGAGAGTGAGAGGTGGAGGGAGCAGCGGGCAGTAGAGGAGAGGTGAGAGTGACAGGGAGGAGCGACAACACCAGCCCAGGGACCACAGTTTGACACAACACCATCCTCCGCTTTCCCTTTCACATCTGTTTACTCCTAGTTCCAGTAATGCTGCATCAGCTGCTACCCGTCACCTATTCTATACTTTCACTATTATAAAATATATTTCTATAAACAAATACCATTACTTTACTACTTGTTATTATTTCGTTATTGCGATATTAGGGGTTTTTATTTAATACATGACATTATGATTGTTCTTAAGACTTTTGGGTCACAGTACTACCTAAATGGTAAAGTACGAGGACGAGGATTGGTTAAGGCGGCCGGTAAAGTAAGCAGCTTATTATTATCTTGTATGCATTAAACACAGCAGTAGTGTCCATTCTTTCCCATATATCACCAGTTAGTTAGTTAACATGTGATTTATATTCATCTTATGTAATGACCATAATATAAAACACTGTGTACTGTCCTCGCACAAGGAAATATTATCTCCACCAGCCACAAAAACTGCGCTTGTCAACTCTTCCAAAATTTCAGAGTTTAGATTGGCCAGTTTTTCTACATACCGGTCAACTAACCTGCCGCCGGATTGGCCAATTTTTGCGGGAAACACAAAATAGACCAATCGCGTGCCGAGATTGCCTTCCTATGCTTTCTCTATGGAAGAACGCCGTCGACTCACCCGTGGAGCCTTAGCGTTAAAGTCTACCCTTCCACAGGTGAAGTATTTTGAGCCATATCTGGGTGTGTTCTGTGTTATTACCGCCATATTTCGCCTCTCCTGGGCCACGGCCTCGCCAGGCGGCCAAGTGGGCCTCTTAATTGGGTTTGTCCTCGTTAGAAAATGACAAAACTTAAAGAGCGTCCTCTTAAAGCCTTGCAATGGCAGCCATAAAACAAAGTGCAGGCCCTGTGAGCCGAGTTATTTTTAATTATGGTGAAAATGAGGGTTGGGTCGAGTGGAGGTGGAGAGGCTAGGGGCCCCCCGGCCGTGAGGTTAAGGGGCCCAGCTGACCCCCAGACCTGGGCCAGCCAACTTGAAATTTCAGGATAGTGGTGAATGGAAGTGAACCTTGGCGGAGTTATGGTGTTGATCTGGGGAACCGTGTTCGGATGTGTGGCCACGCGGGCCGCCTCGTCGCCTCCACCCCATTATTTCTCCCATTTGTGACCCATTTCCATCACGTGAATTACTACAAACACCTTAATTAAACTCTTTTATTTGATGTTGGGAATCATATTGAATCCAAAATGATTCAATTATGAGAGTGAAGTTTGGACGGGGGAAGGCTCTAGGCAGGAATTAGGACACGATGTAACATTTCAGATTTTTGTGGTCGTCTCAGAATATGATGGACAGAAGTGGTGAAGGCATGACCAATGTGGCCAAGTTCCTGGCCTAGTAGGCCTGGCCAGCCATAGGCCTCCATGGCCACTTGGCAAATTTTGGGGGGTTTCCCTCCTCCACCTTCATCAAATGACTCATGAAAGTTCATCACTGTAATTAGCTTTAGGTGATGATAATCTTGCATCAAAGGCCTTATTTATAAATTGATTAAAAAACAATGCATATATACTATTTTTGTTTTTTTGCTTTGTACAGAATACTTAATGGTATTAACATTGTGTAATGTTAATTACATTAACATTACCCTCAGTGCTCTTGTGTTGGGAACTAAAAACATAATACAGGAAGGCTGCAATGCTTTTAAAATTTAGCTAGGCTATGAAGTAGTTAATAAAGTTTATTCACTTTACTACATTTAATAATTATTATTTCCTATTATTAAATATATTGAGGGCTTATCTTTCATAATAAATTTTCCCATAACATTATTTAAGTCATTTAATCATCCTTAAATTATTTTAATTTGTAACACATTGTAGTTTGTAATGCGTCCTTCCTTGACAACCAAGTTTGAGCATAACTTTGTTACGCTTAGGCTTGAAGGAAACCCCACGTCTGATCCACATTACTTTATTGACTACAGACCCTTGCGTTACACCAATTATAAGATACATCACTTGCTACTTACAATACTTACAAAGCAAGAGCTTCTGCTCATCTAGATACTTGGTTGATTGTTGCATGTAGGTCAAGCTTTCCATTCCCTGTTTTGACTTTTTCTCTTTTTTTATTATTTTTTTTTTTTTTTTTTTTAATATATCTGAATCTATTCCTAATATAGCTTCAGATTTATTAATTATGCAATAGATGTTGAACTCATTAGCAACAATCTCAAGTATCTAATTTTCACATACAGTACCTGGAATATTTGCCGGGTAAATTTTTTTGGTCATTTGGAGTGCAGAAACACTTTTTTTAAGCTTGACTTGACATTGTTCATTAATAGTTCAACATTTAATTGCAGGACTATACTTTATAATTAAAATATTAAATCTATTTTAGTGAAGTATAGTATAGTCTTGTTGCAAAAAACATATGTCCCATTGAATTTGGCTGTAATCACACAAATGTAGTTGTCATAATGTACCTCTTCTAATTGTTACAATAGTCTCCTCTTTTAAGAAAAATATCTGTCCGTTCTCAAAAACGAATTGCACCTATTGTTTATATGACTAGAATGTACTACATATGGGCTGTTGTCCTGTGAAGTCCATGTACTATTGAAATTCAAAAGAGCATACATAACAAACTAAAAGAGGCTAATCATTATTCTAAGCAATCTTAGGCTTAACAGTAAACAGTGTCTTTACGCTAATTTAATACATATATTTACTTATACACTGTATTTACATATATCTTGGATATAGACAAATACTGGTCACAGCTTTGTCTCATTCTTTGCTGATGTGAAAATCAGCATGAAAATTTCCTCTGTGGAAGACACTGAAAAATTACAAGGCGATATTAATAATCTTTGATTGGGCAACAGAAAATAACATGTTTAACAGGGATAAATTCCAGGTACTTACGTATGGTGGAAACGGCAAACTTAAACAAAACAGGGTACATGACATACTTAAGGGGCCCGGTGACTGCTCCGAAATTTCCTCATGCACACTTTTTTTTTTTCCATGGTAAATGCTCCAACTTTTCCTAATGGATCAACATCATACTATGAACAGAAACAAATTAGAAAAAAACAAAAAATACAATTTCAAATTAGCTTTAAAAATAGTAAAACTGTCACCAATTTTTATTTTATTCGCTATGGTTTCAGAATGGCATATAACGTTCACGAATCTAAGGACAAAATGTTCTTTGAGAGTATAGTTTACTGTAAAACATTTTTTCAATGTGGCCATCCAAATATGTACATAATTTACACACAAAAAATTTATAACTCGAAACGTTATGGCTTTGACTAAACGATTCTTAGAATACCTTACAATTATGAACTTTGCATATATGTAAAAATTGTGAGAATTGGTCAGAAACTGATATTTTTAAAAGTATCTCAAAGTTGAAATTCCTTTTTTAAGAGATAATTGAAGTTAAAGTTGTCGACAGTGAATATGGTTGTTCTAATTAATGCATTTTCTTGTATGTTTTAATAAACATTGCTTGGCATTTGTACCCGAACATGTGAAAGTTGTAGGTCAATGTGTGTTGAAATGAAGTCTAGAAAAAATAACCCCTGAAAAAAAAAAATATAAGGATAGGTTAGGGATAACATATTGCACTAACTTTATTGCCCATATATAAGTGATAAGGCCCTCATCTGGTCCTCATTCATCAATACCACCTAAAGAGACAAAAGAGAATACAGTAGTTTGAAATCTGTAAATAAATTGGCCCCCAAAATAATAAGTCACAACTTTGCCACCTGTGGTGAACATGTTGACCAATTTCTTTCCAACTTCACATGCTTAGTGCTGGATATGCATTCTACAGGAATGTAGAAGTTACAACAAAATCCAAATAAAATTAAAGGAGAAAAAAAAGTGGTTGTCAGCTTTTCGTACAAAGGAACATTAGAAATATTGCCATTGGGCAATGTATTTAAATGTTATATAATAAAATACAGCATAACAACATGCTAACTCATTAATGTGTGTGAAATCTAGCCCTCCAGATGGCACCAGCTGCATGTACACTTTGTGGACCCTCCTTACTACTACGTTTCTTCTTTGTGCATCGGACAGGTGCTTGCATCTCTATTCCCGATTGCCAGAAAATAGGTGTTATTGTTATCAGTACCTGTTGCTGCCCATCGTGCACGCATTTATTTAAAAAATAAAATTGTAAAATATCCATTTTTTAACATTGGTATGAAAATTTTACGATGCTGATGCCAAATAACGGGAGATTTGTTTAAAAATTTTCACTATATTTCATATTTGGTAAAATACTCCTCAATCACCAGGCCCCTTAATTATACAAGGATAACAACATGTTAAAGATCTGGGGCCGGATTCACGAAAGGGTTACGCAAGCACTTACGAGCCTGTACATCTTTTCTCAATCTTTGGTGATCTTTGCATTTGTTTACAATTATTAAACAGTTAATGTGCTCCGAAACACCAGGAGGCCGTTTATAACAATAACAGCAGTTGTTTGGGAAGTTTTCATGCTTGTAAGCTGTTTAATAAATGTAACCAAAGCTGTCAAAGATTATGGAAAGATGTACACGTTCGTAAGTACTTGCGTACCTGCTTCGTGAATCTGGCGGCTGGGAATTATGTCTGACGACCTGACATTTAATGAATATGACCGAGTAAATATAATGGCAGGCAGGAAAATGATAGGATGGAGTATGGGGGTCCAGGGATCACACAGCAATGCTAATACTAATGAAATCACTATCTAGAGTATTGCACAGCACTCACTTTCCCTTTCAGAGCAAGAGATATTGGTGAAATATAGGAAATACAGAGAACGTATACTGCACACACACACAATAAATTACTTACTGGGACCATCTCAAAGCTCTAAAGATTTACTCATTGGAAAGGAGATGAGAGGTATGACAAAATATGCATGGAAGATACTGGAAGCCCAAGTCCCAAATTTGCACAGCAAAATAACAACATACTAGAGCAAAAAGTACAGAAGGATATGTAGCATAGAGCCAATTAGGAGTAGGGATGCTATAGGTACAGAGAACACTGAAATCAGAGGTCCACGGCTGTTCAGTACTCTCCCAGCAAGCATTTAGAAGTATTGCAGAACAAAGGTGGACTAATTCAAGAACAAATTAAGTTCTTGCAAGAAGTACTGAACCAACCGAGCTGTAGGGTATATGTGGGCTTATGGGCAGCTGCAAGCAATAGTTTGTTGGACCAATTTATTACAAGCCGAGCCTGACCCCAGGCTGGGCTTGGGATGTAGAAGAATTCCCGAGACTCTCTTCAGGTAAACCAGGAGTACTTGATTGGACAGGAAGTCAATGGCTTATCAAAGGGCCCCTCATTGTTTAAGGATTTTTTTCATCTGGATTTTGAACTGAAGTAATGTCTTGGCTTTTATGGGTTTAGCAGGTAGGCCTGGATTAATATCCTCCAACCTGCTCAGTATCTTAAGTGTTTGAGATGACGTGTTTAAATGTACGTATTTATGATATACTGTACGAGATCTACATTACAAACCAGAAGATAAGGAGACAACGTTTTGGTCCGTCCTGGGCCATTATCAAGTCGATTGTCACAATCGACTAGATAATGGACCATTATCACAATTGACTTGATAATGGTTCAGGATGTACCGAAACGTCGTTGTCTCCTCATTTTCTGATATGTGGTTTAGTTCTCATATCTTCAAGCCATGTTATTGTGACTCATCATCTGTAGTATCAGTCCTGTGGTCCTTAGCTGTTCCTGGTATGAAAGTTTACTTATTTCTGGGATGATTTTTGTCGCTCTTGTGTTGAACTTTCCCCAAAGCAGATATATCCTTATGAAGGTGAGGTTGCTGTGCTTAGATTAGTAGTCCAGGTGGGGATGCATCAGTGTATTGTACTATATTTGCTTGGGTGAAGTAAAGTTTTTGAGTGTTCCATTCTTTCTCGGGTCTACTACAACATTATTAGTACCAAATGTATACTCTTTGCGGCCTCCAGCCCATATTTTGTACATTCCATCCAATCATTGTAGATATAGAAATATTATTATACTGTGCTATATTTTTTGACAGGTTAAATAAATCGTGCCCTGTATCAAGACAAATTTGAAATTATTGGTACAAATTATAATAAAGTACTGTACAAAAATGAGTTGTTTGAATTGCATTTTCTGTCTTTGATATACTGTATATATATTTGAATTAAAAAGAATTGTCGATTAAATTAAGTTACTAATTGTCTGATTATCTTGTCCTTTACAGCATCATGCCACGTGCCAAATTAGTAGATACTAAACCTCGTGGGCGGATGTCCGCCTATGCCTTTTTTGTACAAACTTGTCGAGAAGAGCATAAGAAAAAACATCCCGATGAAAATGTGATTTTCTCAGAATTTTCTCGCAAGTGTGCTGATCGCTGGAAGGTGAGATTGTGGTGGTGATAAGTTAAGAGATAGGTCAGCCAGTAATTCAAATTATTCATCAAAGAAGCAGTTCTCTTTATTGGACGTGTTTGCGTGCAAACTCATTTTATGCTTAATATCTGCACTTTCTCTTGGGGACAATGAAAGTCATCAATTTAAGTTTAAACTTTTGGTACTTAAGAGTGTTGTTTACTGTATTAGGGCATATACAGTATAGGCAATGTATTTTGCTATATTTTTTTGGTCAAACTATAGATGCTGTCTTCACAGGTGATGACAACATGCCACCCCATAGACATTTGTACACATCTGGGGTTTAAGTGTGATATAATTCATTTTGAACACCAAAATGTGCATACTTGTTATGGAATTAATTATTTGCTTTTCCAGTATGGTATTTAAAAGTTTCAGTTTTTATTAAAAAAAAAAGCATAATCATCTGCAGTATCGTGCAGAAAAACGGGCTTGGTTCTTTTTTGATAATTAGTTCATGATTATTTATATGTTCAGCAATGATTATATTGAATTGAATAACAATGAGTTATTATACTGACTTCAAGGTTATTAATGACATTACCTCATTATCAACACAATATAATAAAAAATCCAATTTATACCATTTGCTTGTACATTTACCTTAAATTACACATTTTATTTTTGCTTATGTAGTACAAACTGGAACAAAATGTTCATTTACAGACCATGACTGACAAAGAGAAACAACGGTTCTATGACATGGCTGAAAAAGACAAAACTCGCTATGACACAGAGATGCGAGGATACAGAGGACCTCGTCAGGCTCGTGCCACACGAAAAAGGCGTAATCGTAAGGACCCCAATGCTCCCAAGAGAGCTCTGTAAGTATGAGTACTCTATGTATTGTTAACTACTGAGCCTGTCTTCAGAGCAAATCCATAACCAGGAGCAATCAACCACCCTGTTAAATCACCTGGATAATTATCTAGATATTTGTGATAGTCTGAAAGCATATTATGGTTCCAGTAATAGTCTACTTATAAACTGGCAGTGAACCTTTGTCCTAAATTGAGATTATTCTCAAGATATAACTTATTTGTATTATAAATCATTGGTTTAAAATATAACAAGTATATGCTGAACAAAGTTTTTTCAGTGTTAAGAATTTGGTTTTCTGTATATGAAATTAAAGGGTACACTTAAATAGTTTTCAAATTTCATATTCAACATTTTGGACAATATTACACTGTATTAGTGTAACCAAACATCAACCTAACCAAGGACAGAGTGCATAATAGCACTAGTTATGTAGTTGTTGTAAAAATATTACCGGGAGCAGGTTTTGTCTCTGAGGACAGGTAACTACTACAGTAAATCTGCCATTTGCAGGTGTATTTTTTTTTTCTATTTACTAAAATACATTAAAATTATTTGAGGATGCTTATTTCATTATAATATAATTTCATAAGTAGACATATTGTATAATGAGAACAGCAAAACCCAACTCCATCCCAATACAAAAACAAAAAAATTATTTTTATTGGGTGGTATTAACACTTTCGCGCACCCCGCCCGCCACCCCTCAACTGTGCGATATGGGACCCAGGGTGTCATGGGAGCGCGCGTAAATTCTGAAAAGTGTATACTCTCTTCAACTTTGTCACCTTAATTCTCGTCCTACGAGATTAAATTTGGTATCATTGTGTTCGCAATAGAATTCTCTACAGCACTAAATGCATATAAACTCCAAAAGCCCGGCTAATTACCCGCAGCAAACAGAGAAAGTGCGAACGAGTTTCCCAGGAGCGTGCAAACGCGATGAAATGTTTTCACTATTTTTACTCTGGTCACCTCAATTTTCGTCCTAGGTCTTTCATTTTGGTCTCAATGGGTTCGCAATAGAATTCTCTATAGGAACATTAGCATATAAAATAAAAAACATCACGCTCCAACCGCCGACGAGTTATTAGCCGCAAAGCGCTCAGAAAACACTCCCATCAAGCCTTTCTTTTGCAATTTTCTTCACGCGTGGAGTCCTAAACCGCCACGAGCCGAGTTTGAGATGCAACAGACAGTGGAGCGAAAACAATGGGCCCGCGCGTGTTGAGCCACGAGGCAAAGAAAAAAACATCGGCGCGGTCCCCAAAAAATCGGATAAAAAAATGATTTTTGGCGATTATTTAAAGTGGATGACGGAATGCTGCGTCATCCCCGGTATTACCGCCAGTAAACAGATGACGCAATGCTGCGTCATGCCCGGGCGAAAGTGTTAATTTAGTTATGAGTGATCAATATTTTCTGTTAGCGCACAATATCTGGCAGATATGTACTTATATGTGGTGTATCTTAACAACATTCACAGAGGTCTTCAAATATTTGAGATAAAGTAATCAAATTTCTATTTTGCAGACAGGTTAATAATGTGGGAAAATATTAAAATACTTATGTGGATATACAGTACTGTATGGAATTTCGTGGTTAAATTCTGCTATTGAATTCAGTTCCTGAAATTTGGTTTGTTACCCCCCCCTTATTTATAAGTTGTTTACTTGTACGGTTTTGAAAATGAAAAATATAGTAATTGAAGGAAAATATAAAAAATGGTACAAAAAATTAGATTTTTAAATATTTTTAGGTGTGATGATACCCCACATAATTATCAATTCGACCAATAAATTTAATTGTTAGAAGTAATTATTTTATGAGTAGTTTTCTCAATTTTAATTTAACTTGTAAGAATATAAAAATATTTCCATCTGTACCATGAAAAAACTTCGCATCTCTAGCTCTTTATCTATGTGTGTGTGTCTCTCTCACATCTAACGCTCTCACTTTCTCTTGCTATTGCTTTCTTGCTTGTTCTTGCTCCTTTGCTGCTACATAGTCTCCCTGGCTTGGTGCTTTTTGTTAATTACATACTTGCTCCTTTGGTCTCTTGTGCACTCTTGCTCTTGCACTCTTATTCTACTTATTTACTGGAGAAGAAACTAAAAATCGTGTACATACAATTTTCGACCACAGGTCCTCAGGGAGTGAAGTGGCGGCCAGCATTGCCTCACTCATTATCAGTCTTGTTCTCCCCTTCCCTTCGTTATTTACACATAATTAGCTTGTCTACACTTATTTTATTATAAGCAAAGTATTGTATTATAATATATACCTGATTTTGTAATTACAGCCACTATAAATATCAGAGTATATAGTTTAACACTTTCGCCCGGGCATGACGCAGCATTGCGTCATCCGTTTACTGGCGGTAATACCGGGGATGACGCAGCGTTGCGTCATCCACTTTAAATAATCGCCAAAAATCAGGTTTTTATCCGATTTTTTTGGGACTGGTTTTAAAATGTGCGCCGATGTCTTCCCATTTTCTTTGTTGAGCCTCGTGGCCCTCAGGTGGCTTGGCACACGATGTCGGCCCATTCTTTTCGCTCCACTGTTGTGACCAATGTCGCCTCCCCTCACATCTCAAACGTGTGAACATTTCGTCTATTTTCCGTGGCTATATTTCTTACTGCAGCTTTAGAAACTATCTACGCTTACTCCACGATGGATAGTGATCATGAACAAGGCCCTTCCAGGAAGAAAATTGTGAAAGAAAGGCTTGAAAGGGAAGGGAATTGGGAGTGTAGCTGGAAGGCGTCTGATAGCTCACTCGCGGCTAACGCGTGGCCCGTCTTCAACTCGTCGGCGGTTGGAGCGTGACCAGGTTTTTTATTTTATATGCTAATGTTCCTCTAGTGAATTCTATTGCGAACCCATTGAGACCAAAATGAAAGACCTAGGACAAAAATTGAGGTGACCAGAGTGAAAATAGTGAAAACATTTTATCGCGTTTGCGCACTCCTGGGTAACTCCTTCGCACTTTCTCTGTTTGCTGCGGGTAATTAGCCGGGCTTTTGGAGTTTATATGCATTTAGTGCTGTAGAGAATTCTATTGCGAACACAATGATACCAAATTTAATCTCGTAGGACGAGAATTAAGGTGACAAAGTTGAAGAGTATACACTTTTCAGAATTTACGCGCGCTCCCGTGACTCCCTGGGTCCCATATCGCACAATTGAAGGGTGGCGCGCGGGGTACAACCCGTTCTCGCAAATTCGCATAGTCAATATTGACTTATTTACTACGTGCATAGGTGATATACTAAACATAAGAGATACCCTTAAAAAGCTTCATAGAAAACACCGACCTTACCTAACCTTGTTAGTATGTTAAGGGGGCATCGAAAAATATCGTTATAAATTAAAATTGTTCAATTTGCTTATAAATTTTTTTATGAAATGGTTATAGAAAGGGCTGCAACTGGTCCAAGTTTCACCATCACACCCTAAACAGAAAAGGAGAAAAAAATACACAACGTATTATGCAACGAATGTTCAACATTCTCAAATAATCTCAGGGAACACATGTGTCAACTAAAATGTCTACTATGTGCTGTAGAAGCACAAACTCTTGTAATAATTGTAATATGTATGTTCAATATATTTATATTTAATTTTTTTTTTTTTTTTTTTTTTTTTTTTTTTTTTTTTTTTTTTTTTTTTGGACAATTTTTTTTTCTCGTTTGTTATCAAGGGATTTGAAGTCAAGCTCAGCTACAGGTGGCCGAACTTGGATCTTTATTTTACTCTGGAAAGTAATTTACACCTTCAAATTACTTCAGAGCTTTCATTTATTAATCAATTTACATGCAAATTACACCTTGTATGTAGCGTTTGTGCTTCTACAGACTCTAGTAGACATTTCAGTCCAAGGTCTATTTGTTGATTTTATAAAAATTTATAAATATCATATATTGCATATTTTTTTAGTAGGGTAACTTTGAAATATTATATTATTGTACTAAACACTTTTTTGATAAAACTGATCACTAGAATCCTTTATTATGTGCTTAATTTAATATCTGAGTGTTATAGAAATGATTTTAGTTGACACATGTGTTCCCTGAAACTATTTGAAAATTCGTTGCATAATTCGTTGTTTATTTTTTTTCTCCTTTTCTGTTTAGGGTGTGATGATGAAACTTGGACCAGCTGCAGCCCTTTCTATAACCATTTCATAAAAAAATTTATAAGCAAATTGAACCACTTTTAATTTTACACCGATATGCCCCCTTAAGATAAGCATCTTATTGCTTCGTAATTACAATTATTACTTAACCTATACCTATAATAGGTTAAGTAACAATTGTAATTACGAAGCAATAAGATGCTTATCTTAACATACTAACAAGGTTAGGTAAGGTCGGTGTTTTCTATGAAGCTTTTTAAGGGTATCTATTATGTTTAGTATGTTACCTATGCACTTATTTAATAAGTCAATATTGACTATACTAATTTGTGAGAACAGGTTGCGGGGTACGCCAAAGTGTTAACATGTGTGAGAGCTCAGATTTGTGGCAAACAATGTGGTGGTCAGAAATAAAAAATGAAAATGGTTGACAGCTGCCTCCTGTTATCTTTAGTTTTGTTTGTAGATAGTAGTGTAATTTACCTAGTTTTGCACATAATGTTAACATCCACCATCTTACACAGTTTTCCCTACGCTCTCCCTCATCTATAGCCTATCTTCCGCACATTCCCACAAACATGCTCTCGCCCTATATCTCGCACCCTCGCTTCACCCACCTGATTTCTTCCTGTTCTTCATTATAACAAGTTGTCTTTTATGATTTTATATTTGCCACTTCATTTCTATAGACACCAATTACTAACGATTCCCATCCACAAAGATATTGTAATATTGCTGATATAGTGGACCTTAACACTCATATTTTAAACCATTTTATATTGAAGGTTTCCCTCTCTCTGCCTCTTAAATATTTCAACTACAAGGAGTAATGACTTAATGTACCAGGATTAACTTTTATTTATTTCGCAGATCGGCATTCTTTTGGTTTTCCAATGATGAAAGACCAAAAGTGCGAGCTGCTAACCCTGATATGGGTGTGGGAGAAGTTGCAAAGCAACTTGGTGCAGCGTGGAGTAACACACCACCTGAGGTCAAAGCAAAGTATGAAGTCATGGCAGAAAATGATAAAGCCAGATATGAGAAGGTTTGTCTTGCATTTTGTTCTTTTAATTAATAAAGGAGGGGGAGGGGGACAAAATTGATTATGAAAGTGTTTAATTGACTGATCTATTGCAATCTTGTGACAATTTAATTGGTTCCACAGGAAATGAAAGCCTTTAAGGAGGGGAACTTTGGAGCTAAGAAACTGAAAACTGCAGTTGCCACTGAAGATGATGATGATGATGAGAGTGAAAGTGAAGAGGAAGATGATGATGATGAAGAGGATGAATGAACTTTACTTTTACCTTATAAATGACCTGAAGTATTATAGGGTTTTGTTTGTTTTAGACTTTAGGCATTTGAAATGTAAATTCTTTGGATATGAACGGTGCCTTTTTCTTAAGGCAAACTGTATATGAATTTATACCGGTAATGACAATCCTAATTTTGTTTTTCCTCTGCCGAAATTTTAGTTTAAAAGGCCAGTGGTCCTTTTATGTACGTGTATTTTCAGATATGCCAAAGAAAATGGTATGTTTTATTTTTATTAATAGGATCAAAGAAATTTGGTTTGGAATTATAAATATTTATTTCTGAGTGACTAATTTATTTTATTTTATAGTTTTAGTATCTTGGAATAACAATATTACGTTGAAAACTAATGAATGTTTCACATGTATACTTGTACATATGGCATTTTTGTATGATTGGTGGACATTAGGAGATCTTTGAGGAGTCTGGATCATTGTACGAAATGATCGCTAGGTTTTAGCCAGATTGTCTATCATCGTCGATGTATTTCACCCTCATAGCTATTATTTGTACATCATGTCATAATAGGGTTCTAAATGGTCAAGCTAATTCATTTACAAGTCTGATAAACAATAGGAATTATTGAATTTGGAAATTATTTCCCTATAATTTTGATTGGCGTTTCGTAGGGATAAGTTTTGCACAGGCGAGTGTTTGTGAGTGATATGAAGTGTCAGCTCCATTCCATAAAGTAGAGCCCAATATAACTAGGTAACTGTTTCCTATTGTAAAACAGTTGGTGTAATTAAGGACTTGAATGCAGATGAATTGAGCTTTACTATTTATTGTATAATCTTCTTACACTACACCATTTTGTTGTTGACCTTTTGTATGAAGAGTACAATAAAGAATGCAGTTTGTAATTTTGTTATTTTATCACATCCATGAAACAAAAGCCATTGTAAAACAGAATTGCATTCTGTGTGTTGCCAACAAAATTTAAAATCTTGACTAGTACTACAGTATATCTACATGCTTGTTAGATACCTACATAGAGAGATACATGTTTGATTTGATTGCATATATTACAAATGTTCAATCATTTTGTCAGGTATCGTCTTTGTTTCTCATCTCAATGGGCTCGTTTCAATTTTAAATGGGCTTATGTTGTTCAATATATTTTTCATAAAACCCCAGTGGCTAGACTTTTTTGGAATTAATTCTGTATTTGCAACTTTATTTTTACATGCATTATTATTGTCCCATATCCTATTATGGGTGGGGCAGGCATCATTTACTTCACATAAATATAATTTCTGCAGTGTGCATTATTATTTACGTGCATTTTGTAAGGTTGGGCAAAAATTAATTCTTTAACTATTATTTTCCCTTTAAACACCTATATTTGGCAGATGACACATCTCTAATATTCCAATGGGCTCTAATACATAGTTAGGTAATGGGAACAACACCTGAAGTAGGCATTAAAGTGAATAGTGGTTTGGGTAAGTTGTATAGTACAACTGACTTAGTTGGATAATACTAATAATTTAAGCTTTAAATTAGCTTAAAAGGCAAGTTCTTTTCTTTTAAAAGGTCAGATTAAGGAAAGGAATAAATGTTGACATTTTACTGGTTAATGAAAATTTTTGTATAAAACACTACCCTATATTGAGGTCACTTCTTTAACTTTGCCGTCTTATCTGTAGTTAATTAGTCAGGATGTTTGCAGTGATAAAGATCAGCATGAATGCAGATTTATTTTCTGGTGCTTTTAGATGTGTGCATCACTCAACTGAGTCTGGCCAGCAATGAGGTAAGTGATCAATGGCCGTAGCCTACTTAAAAGCAAAAATCTTGGTGTATAAAGTGTCATGTTGAAGACATTTACTGGGTCATTAGAACATCAATTTCAGGGTAGTTCCTTAGTACAATATATCCAGTTTCCATCTACAGTATCACGCAAGTCAAAAAATGGGTATAAAATACAGAATAATCTCATTTGTTTTATTACATACAAGTACAAGATCACACTTTAATATTCAAAATATATTTATGGGCATGCATTTCAACTTTAACGAGGTGAAAATTTATTACTGCCTTGATCAAATTGTAAATCCAGTTTTGCTACTGGAAATGTGGACAGCCTTTATAAAATAAACATCCTTTACACAAATGTGAGTTTGGTGCGAGCTTGATTTAACTGCCACACATTCAGCTCTTCATATTCTTCAATGCACTCATTTACCTGAAAAAAATTACAATGATGATTAGCTTAAAATGTATATGTCATCTTCCTCTACGTTTTGTCTTGTGTTCAATGTAACATTCTTTGTACAATACTCTTATTAAGGACTTTAATGACGATACAAATACAGTCCTTTGAACAGCCAACTAGTTTTATTTTAAATAACAATGAAGAAAAGGATTAAAATGTTGAATTTGTATCCTGCTCGCTGAGTGACAACATGCAGATATTCCCCATACAAATAGGAAGTTTCTGCACATGGTCATTTATCCAAGTACAAAGTTATAAAAGAAACATGATATAGTTTCTCAATTACAAATAAAGTTCCCAAAGCCTTTCAAATACCTTTAGAATCAAACATTTGATTTTAAAACTAGCATAAAAATTAAGCACTTGCCATTTTCTTTTGAAAGTGGAAACCATATTGACATGTTGACCTTTCCCATCATCAAGAGGTTGGGAGGGAGGGGTGTTAAAGATTCAAGTAAGAGGTGGGAAGTTTACTTCTAATAATACCAAGAGTACTAACCTGGTCTGGCTTGTAGCCTTTGCTAGTACAACGTTCAATTACTTCTCCAAGCTTCACTACACGACTGTCTCCAGCAACTTCACGAATAAGTGTGAAGATCTTATCAGTAACTGTCTGTGCCCTATCAAAAGAATAATTAATTTACATTGTACATATATATTTAAGATAGTCTCAGCCAATAATCCCTAACTTTCGGATATACAAGTTAAATTTAAATTGTAACTGCTGGCTGGCAGTGTCACAAATGCTTACATTTGTTTGTGTACCAGTCTTACACTGCTTACCTGGCACATCTCCTGTGCCAGTTAAGTATGACGGGCTCACCATAGCCTGTGCTGCTTGAGTAGCTGAATCTAAAACAACAACAATACTGACTGAATCATTATGAATTCCATGGAATATGCTGAGAATAATACTGAATTATAAAGAAGTACAGTATTTGAATGATATATATGTAGTAAGCATGTTACACAATACGTCAAGTTTTATTAATATAAAACATTTTGTTTAGCATACCAGGGAACTGCCAAGAAGTTGTTTTTTGTGAAATTTCATAATTGACGATCACTCGGATACTGTACTTGTGAAAATAAGAAACAGAAGATTGCCATACCCTTTAAAAAGACCTGGACAAAATAAGTATTTGGAACACCACTTGGCAAATGGAATTTAACGTGAATAAATGCCATTTTATGGAATGTAGAGTCAGAGAAAATAGACCACACACAACCTACAAATTATGTGAAATGCTATTGTAAATGGACTATGGTGTATGCTACATGCTTCCAGGATTCTATTTGATCATATGCTCCAATGTCACAAAAAATAATTATGATATCAAATGGTATTTATCAAAAATATTAACATTGAAGAACAGTTTCCTCAACAATGTAATGCAAATATTACTTGGTCAATAATGTAAAAACAAAATGTGGCAATTCTTGAAACTTGGCACCTCAAAAAGCAGTGTTGCACAGTTTAACCCCCACCCATGAGAGACTTGACTACAACTGTACACTAGAAAAATCTCTTCAGAGGTCTATTTTGATCACATGAGTGATGGAGTGGGGGTAATGAGCACTGTACAGGGATGCACTTATCACCATGCTACTGTAACAAGTACTGTACTATACTGTACTATAATGGGTATAAGCTAGTAGTGTCGTGCATGGTATTTATATTTTCTTACAGCAATATGGGTGGTGGCAAAGATTGCATTTGCAGTAATAGTTGCAATGCTTATGGGCAATCTTCGAATCTAGATCTTTGTACGCCACCTCGTCATTTTTACAAGGTGCATTTAAATTTGAGCTCTATTGTATTTGCTTTCAAAGTTCTGGATGTATGTGGAATCCAAATGTTCATCACCTGAACAGTGCTCATGTACTCATTTGGATTGTTAACTTCTACCAATGTAATATTTTCTCTCAATTTAAAAAGGTAAACATTGTAAATGCACTTACTTCCCAGTCCTCTCATCACTATGATTGAGTGAATCTTTACTCATTTCCATAAGTCTCATGGCCTCATTCACATCCTCTTTCTCAACCTAGAATTGTTTAAAAGCAATCCAATTACACATATACATTAACCATTCGTTATTCATTTAAAATTAACCAAACAATATTAACTATTATTTAACATGAGAAAAATAATGGTTAAAATAGCAAATTTTGGAAATGTCAGAAGCCAATGACAAATCAGTGCATTATCAAAACAATTTACCCCTCAAATTGCAATCAAAATTGGTACCTTGCAAGCTTAGAAAATGATATATGAAATTATTTCTCAGGCAACTACCTCACAATGGAAACTACAACAGCCATTACAGCTGGAAACTGAATCATAAAGTATACCTATCTCAATGAATCCTACATTACTGGGCAAATGAGCACATCAAATAAATTACTTAATACAAACTAAAAGGATAAACATTACAAAATATACAAGAGAACCAGTGTAACAAAAAATATCAATATTCTACCTAATAAAAAAAATTGAAATGAATTGTTAAAGAAAAAAAAAAAAAAATGAACCAGCTTTAAATTTTCCCCTTGCCTCTGACCGAGGAAATCTTCCCACACAAAAAGTATTAGGTACTTCACCTGAGATAACCATAAATTGTAAAATTTGAAATAAAATCTTAAAACTTTAGATTTATTTTAAGATTTACATAATTCTTAAAATAAGTAGGTTCATTTCTACAGAACATCTCCACTTAACTATATTAATAGTTTTAGCAAAGTATATATACAGGGTCTAATATTTGCTTACAGAATCGACAAGCCTGAGTCGAGCCAATGCAGTAGAGAGACGCAAAACAGCCAGAAGAGTACGTGCCGAGGTAAAAGTCATGTCTTTGCTATTGCGAGCTTCTTTACGCATCTCTACGTATGCCGAGACAATGTAATCTGTAAGATTCTCTGGAATTGTTGGTTGCTGAAATAAGAATTTATATTAAAAGCTGTTGCCATTAATTGGTGTGCATTACAAAAGTTTATAATTGTTGGCCATCTCCTACAGTAACAAGGCCACATTGTCCTATTTCACTCATGGCTCTTAGCTCTCACCATCCATATATAGTACAGTGCAATATAGTAATGCACTAAATAATAACCAGTCCCAGCACTTGGTCTTTAAGCCAAAACTAGCATGGCAATCTATGTACTATTTCTCCTTCCAAACACTTGCTGCATAACAAGTAGTCTCCTTCAGATACTGAACTGTACTGTACTACATTCCTAACCACATACGATTCTTCAAATTATATTAATTTATACTACAAGTTAGTGAACAGTCATCACCAACTAAGAAAGCTAGCGCAAGTGGTCCGATGTGGTTACTGTGCCAATACAATTGACATGTACCTTATCATTAAACTAGCTAGGGTTTAAGGGATCCACCTGGATACCAGGCTGTATAACCTTTAGCATAACATGGTCTATGGGTTAATGGTCTGGGGTTACCCAGGACACTGGTTCGATCCCCGTCCTGCTCCAAGGATTTTCTCAGATATATCACATGACATGAAGAGAGAAAATATAAAGTGAAATCTGTAAGGTATTCTTACATGAACACCTAATTATCAGTTAAAAAAAAATACAAATGCTTTTTAATATAGAAAAATGAAGACCTTGCATGTGTGGCACAACAATCCATGTCACAACTACCAAATTAACAATATTACCTTGCAGCAGATTGTGGCCCTCAGGTAAATTAGGTAAATATCCAGTGACAAAGTCTAGAAAGACAACACAAGCCCAGAACAGTCATTGGTGATTAACAGAACAGAAGCCTCAAGTCCGATATCTTAGACCAAGGACTTTCCAGAGTACGAATTTCTGTATTGAGTATGAGTATGAATTCTGCATTTTCTATTCTCACAATTAAAGCCTCCTCTAACGCATCAACAATATTTGATAATTTGAGATTTGCGTGGAAAATAGGACACAGGGACAATACATAGTATGGTCAATACATACATGAATTATTTTCTCTGAGAAATTTTCAGCTTTTAGTGGTCTTATTTCAAGCAAAATATACATTATAAAAAAAAAATTACCTTCTTTTTGCAAAGAGCAATATACCGCCGCATCAATTTCATGTCGAGTGGCTTGAACTGTGTGGGTGGCTGGCAGCAGTGTTGGTGGACGTAAGTAATGTGCTGAGCCAACCTATAACAATCAAGATAATTAGGAATTAAAATTATGAGTTACAGAGTATTACTATACTAGTGTAGTAACCAAATTTAATTATAAAATAGTCTTTCCTTGCAAATGCAAGAGATTTAAACAATTCTGAGGAATGCAAAATTTTAAGATTACAAATGACAAATGTATGTATATTTGTTCAAAGCTTGAAGAAACCAGATTTAATGCAGAAATACTTGTATCTTTGTACCATACCACACTGATATTAGCATTAGTTCATCACACAATGTCATAATTGCCGAGGCACATGTTTATCTACTATTCAATGACATCTGAAGTGACAAAGAGCCAATGACATCTTCAAATATCTGGCATTGTCAGCCTTCTTTTCTAACATACCTTGGGCAAAGATTCAGGCTACTCACTACCTGGTTAATGGTTCCAAGCCATGCCAGGCATGTGTGGCATTGGGTTAGTTGCCTTGGCACTGACCTCTTTAGGGTCACTGGTGCCACGTCCCTTCCTCACACAGTTAACCCTTGTTCTTATTTGTTATTTGTAGAGAATTGACTCGGGGAGCCACCAAGGGAAGTGATCCCTTAAATCAAGCATTTACTGGCTCATAGTCCCTACTTTTCCGTTGTTCTGGAGCTTGGGCAATGTGTGCATGACTGGGTTAGCTGGTCAGTACCCTCAGGTGTACAGGGCTGCACCTGATGAGGTACAGGGACATCTGATGGCAAGAGTTGCTAACTAGTGGTTGATCTTGGATAACAAGCAAGTATTGCTTACAGCAGGGTTACAAACTTAGTTGCATTCAACCTTCCGGTCATATTTTCTTTGGATACTGTAGTGGTCTAGTATCTCCAGATTACCTTGCCTTTATTGAGGGGGCTTGTGAATTTTAAGAACTTGGGAGTGTTAACCAAGGTTCTCAAATAGGTACCTCAAGGAGGCATTGAGAGACCCACACGCATCTCATTACATGGAACACTGGATTTCCTCCATCCCCCCCCCCCACCAATCCATTTCCTACTGCCTTCCTACCATTCTAGCCACTTTTTAGCCACATATATATATAGTCCACAATAAAGTTCAGAATATATTCATACCAATGTATCAGCATCAGTATTTTTGTAGTATCAGGTAAATTTTCCCCTGACAATATTTTGATATGCCTTTGGAAAATAGCCATATACTTTTTTTTATTTGAGTGGTACAAATCGGCAATCACTGCTGGAGAGTCAATTTAACATATTTTGTGGACTCTACAGGAATATTTGTGTAATTATAATTGAGTAATACTAATTTACTATGCATACCAATATACAAACCCAGAGATCATGAGAAGTAATATCCTAATAGGTTCTATCATCTATTAAAAAAAATAATAAATATCTGTATCAGTGCACCCTCAAGCAGAATGCTTTGGGCCATGAAATACAAAGAGAAAACAATTCTAAAAAAAAACAGGAATTAGTGTAAGAGCCAAACCTACTGTTAACCCAATATATGGTACACACATTAATTCATAAATGGTAAAACACTGAGACGATTGTTGACCCCAACAGATGTGTAAACTGCTTGATACTATCTGGCAATACATACATGCCATTGCTATAAATTTCCACTATTATACACCCACACTACTATAAATCGAGCTATGCCTGCGATATACAATACCCATGCAAAGGATTGTAGCATTATTTTTCCTGTTAGTTTATATAGCAATGCCATTTTCAAAGCAGATCTACAGCATATACATATACATTTATCTATATACCTATACAATAAAAGAAAATGTTTGTGCCTGTCAGAAGTTGGAGCCCAGACACTTCACTCAAATTTGCAGGGAAAAATGGTCTGGGGTTATGGGATGGTCATAGGCTGGTTGGGGCATGCCTAAATTAAGTGCTTAAAAAAAATCTTAGCAAATATGAACACCACCTAGACCATTATCATAGATATTTTTATGGAGTCAAGTGTGAAATATGGCACGTCAATAAAAGAAAAATGAGAAAGGAAAAGCAATGCATCCGACACTCGTACATTTCTTTCAGTGCTTTTTGAAGGGTAGATATAGTTGGGAAAAAGGTTAGAGATAGCTTGATAGATAGAGGTAGATGGGGGGGGGGGGCAACCAGGCAGACCCAGGGGGAAAGCTGGGTGCCCCTATTATTGTATGTGTGGGTGCACGGGTATATGTGGTCAATTATAGTTTATTGTAATTACACAAAATACCAATAAAGACCACAATATAAAAATGAATTCGATTCAGTATCTTTTTATTTGTATACTTCAGTGTTGCTTTTTATTACAACCTACCTTAGATCATTCTCCCGATCAGGTCTGTCTTGGATAAGCCACAGTAAATCAAAACGTGACAGGAGGGCAGCAGGCAACTGAATGTTTTGTTCAACAGTTTTCTTGGGATTATACCGACCATAAGCAGGATTGGCTGCAGCAAGGATACTTACACGAGCATTAAGACTTGTCATGATACCTGCCTGAAAATTAGTAAAAATAATCATTAGCCAACCGACAATACAGTTTGCCATAACAGTCAGATGGCTCTAGCTTAAAATTAAAACCGAGATTACTATTATAATAGAATACACAGTATTTGTAACTTCTGCAATGAATTATACTCAAAGTTTAACAGAAAATGTACAAAAGACATTTGATTACACCTGGCATTGTACAGCTTCATTTTGTACAAGATTCCATATAGCAGAGGTATCGCTTATTTTTAAAATTCATAATGGTTACATGGCTCAATTTAAAATAGAGAAAATTGTCTGGGACTGCCCAGGGTGCTGGTTCAATCAAGTCTGGAGGTCTTGTAATTTTTGTGTCTACCTATCAGTGACAATGAGGGAATGCAATTTAGCTCTTTATGCCCTGCTTCCTAACTGTTCAAATCTGGTGTGTTAATTATACCCACCTCAACATTAAAATGTTGATACTTGGACCAACATTAAAATTATAATTAAATTATTATAATTATAATTGTAATTATACCCACCTCAATATTAAAATGTTGATACTTGGCCAACATTAAAATGTTGATATGCAGGGAATTGACATACTTACCTCTTTATAATAAAAAGAGACTTCCTTTATCTGTTCCCCTCAAAACCTTGTACGTGGTTATCATATCTCGTTTCTTTTCTCCTCTATGGTTGCAAGGCTCAGTTCTCTTAATTCTAGCACAGTACTACTTTAGTTTCAAACCTCTGAACTTTTCTCAACTTTGTTAATGCTTCACAAGTGGTACCAAAAGTAATGCACTAACCAATGCTCTCACCTAATACAAGACATTTTTTTATGGCATTGACCAATCTGTTTAAAACCACGATACTTTAGTAAATGCCTTAATTCACTATTGACATTTTCTATGACTTGATCTCTATAGGTTACACGAGTTGCTTGTGTTCCTGGTCAAACAAAACTTGCATTTATTATTGAAAATTCAAGAGAATGGACTTAATGCACTGGGAAATCATTTAAGACCAGCCCAGAAAAGTGACAACTAAGATACTTCCTTTGCAGGTATTTCTGATAATATTTAGAATTTAATCCCATAGGTTAATCAAAGTATCACTCAATACAGTTATTAGTAATTACTCATGTAATTCTGATTCTTGTTTTTACACAAGCAAAGGACACTTTCTTTACTTTATTATAATGTAGAGGAACCATACAAACCATCTTCAACCATATGAAGAACCTTCCCTGGAGGAAATGGCAGCAAATGCTGTAGCAACACTTGAGTAATACAAGAATACAAGTTTTCATACATTAATAAATTATTAAAATAACCCACTAAAATAAACTGAGAACAAATACCTTAGCAATGGAAATTGTCTGCTGTTCCATAACCTCATGGATGGCAGTACGATCAGCATCAGCCATTTTGTCAAATTCATCAATGCAGCAAATTCCCTGATCTGCTAACACCAGTGCTCCTCCTTCAAGTGTCATCTCTCCTGTTAAAGGATCCTTCATAACTGCCGCGGTCAGACCCACCCCTGTGGAACCTCGACCAGTGGTATACTGACTGCGTGGGGCAAGACGATCAATGTATGAGAGAAGCTGAGACTTGGCCACACCAGGGTCACCCATTAGGCAAATGTTAATGCTGCCACGTATCTTCATGCCATTGGGGTGACAATCTACACCACCAACTAGTAAAAGTAAAAGAGCCTTCTTAACATCTTCATGGCCATAGATTTCTGGAGCAATGGAGGTTGCAAGTTTATCATAGAAGTCTTCCTCAGCAATTTGCTTGATTTCTGCTTCTGTTAACTCTTCTGCTCCAAGCTCATCATCCTCCATTTTGTTCATTTTAATGATGCGCTTTAGGAAAATAAATTGTATAACCCATTAATTATGTTACATAATAATAATAATAATAATAACCAAGTATCTTGAAACTGGATTTCACATAAAATATGCAATATGAATGGCAAAACAAGCCATAAAACCTATTAATTGCATTACTACAAATTACAGTTAAAATTACAACTACTGTACATAAACAATCTTACATGAGCTTCAAGATACGTGTCAGAGAGAAGGCCTTGCATCATAGCACGGAACCCCTGACGTAGGAGAGGCATGAATACACCCGTGATTGCAACATGATCACCCGGCTGGCAGAGCCGTGTCTGTTCTCCACGGCACATAACTGTCAGAGAGCGTGGGATGTTGCCAATAGGCACCTGTATAGATATGAAAATAAAACACAAACTTGTCAATTTTGGCACTTTGTGCTATTTCAATGAAAAAGAATATTATGGCAGTGATCAAATGTATATACAGTAATTTCTTAACACGTCCAGAAAAGATATTAGGGACGGCCATCAGGCTCGGCTAGCAAGTACTTAATGTACTGTAAATCTAAAATTCTTATTACTCCATGTAAAACATAAACAAACCCCATTATCAAAATTGATAGACATCTCAAGCAATTGACAAAAAAAAATATAGAAAGGGACTGGGTCACAAACTACCACCTAACCAACAAACACATACTACAGCTTATTAACAGTTTAATTTTTACTATACTCCCAGGTAAGACAAAAGCCTCCATAAAAACTGCCTGTTTTTTATTAAAACAAGAAAACTTTACAAATACTGTATCAATCTTATCTGGCAACCAGCTACGAACTATAAGTATGCAGTGAAAAGTTAAAAGAAAGAAATCTGGCTTTCCCGCCAACACTTTCAAATTGTAGGAGTAAGATAGATTATATTATATATATAATATATTTTTATTTTAAAACAAGGAAAAAAGAATTTTTTTTTTTCAAAAGAAAACAAGCATAATAGCATTTTAAACAAGAAGGATATAGATGTGTAGAAAATAGTTTACATACCTGGTCCGAGTGCTCCTGAACTTTTATATCTTGGAACTTAACAAACTTTGATCCACGTGTTTGCAAGTACAAGCGCCCACCGGATTTATTTACACGACAATCTTCACTTGGGCACAATAAATGGGGCATGAAGCTTGTAGATTGAATCTGTTTAAATAAGTAATCATACAACAAATGAGGACAAATGTAAAGACTAAAATAAAATATGTTTTGTACAGAGCAATTAATCTTTTGCATTTAATGAAGTCACTAGAATTGTAACATTTCTACCATGTTCCAGCAACCAGGAGAAGTTTGCTTGATAGTTCTATCATATTATTCAAAGATAATGAATAAGGAGGAGCTATCCCCATACCTCTACATGGTCTCTCCAAAGATACATAGTTCAAATAAATAAATCTAAATTATGAAACTAAATTATGAAGTGATTGGCTATTACTGTTGCTGCAACAGTAATAGCCAATCACTTCACTTATAAAGATATGATTTATGAGTTACTGTATAAAAAAGCTAGTAAAATAGTAATGAATTCTTTAAGGTTTAGTATATTAGACTAAAGAGAAAAAGGGGGGGGATGTAAAAATGTGAAGAAAATGAAGCAATACTCATGAACACCTTTCCTAGTGTACTACAATGATCATTAACTGGATCAGGAAAAGGAAAGATAAAACTTTCACAATATACAAAGGAATCTCAGTACTCAAACGGCTCCCAACTCTAATGCTGTGTTTGTGGTCGGTAGTCGACCATTTGCTCAGCACTGAAACGCAAACATGTAACAGGTGGGGTAATTTCTCAGTAACAGTCATTCTGTGCACACCACCACTAAACTCCCCTAAACTTTCTTGTGTTTTCGTGGATACATTTTAAATTCTTCTAATAAATAAGTCACCATGATGCCTAAGTTAGAGATAAAAGCCAAATGAAAAGAAAATTAGCCAGAATCACGATAGAAATGAAAAACGAACTCATAGCAGAATATGAAAGTGGTGCCCATATATCTGCTCATGCTACCAAGTTTGGTATGCCTAAATTGGACAAGATTCTTGCAAGAAAAGCATCCAGTGAGTCAAGAGGGAAACAAAATATAAAAAAGCAGAAAAGAGAAAGAACACCAGAAGCAAAATTAATTGAAGTGTTTAAGGTAGGGGACTCCCCTGCAAAACAGTAACAACTCTCCTCTTCCTCACCACTTTCCACATACACTATCAACTCTCCTAAGTGCAGATAAAGTGAGAATATATCTGCATTTATTCAATTTATTTATTGTATGGTTAGCATACAACTGCTAATCTGGAATGGATTAATACATTTTACATTATTCCTTATGCAAAAAAATTATTCGGTAATCGAACAGCCTTCTGGAACGAATTAAGTTCGAGTATCGAGGTTGCACTGCATAGACTTCAATAATTAACAAAATGATTTAACGTGACACACTTACAGGCTGGTAGGTCTCGGCACCACACTGATCACAGGTGTAAGTGGCCACCTGCATCATTGGTTTAACTTCTGTGCATCTTGTTACAATACCGCGCACCATCACCAGCTTGCCAACATGAGAAGCCTTAACATTGCGGATAGATAGAGTCTTCTGTGTAGATGGTGCTTTGAAGCAAATCTCACTGGAATATAAATTGCAAATATTATATAAGGATTTGATAGAGCCTAGAAAGGTATAATGACTGTTCTTAGATTTGTATGCCCGAAGGCACTTCTGTGGATGAAAGTTCTCAGGAAAAACATGGCATTAGATACAGATGCAAATGTAGGAAATCTTAGTAACATGAGTGTGTACATGTCAATGTTTGCAGATTATGCAAAGTTAACAAGGAGAATAAGAACTGAAGAGGGTTGTAGTGTGTTGCAGGACGACCTTAAACTTCAAGAGTGGGCAGAAACATGCTTGCTGGAATTAAATCCAAACAAGTGAAAAATAATGAAAATGGGTAAGGGAGTTAAGACCTGTATTTAACTACACCATAATGGGAAGGCAATTACAAGAAACAATAAGAGAGAAAGACCTGGGAGTTGACATAATCCCAACACTAACACCAGAGGCTCATGTGAACAGGATAACATCAGCAGCATATGTGAAGTTAACAAACATAAATGTCATTTAAGAAACAAGGAGGCTATCAAGTCTATACACACTGCCTATGTGAGACCATTACTGGAAAATGCAGCTCCAGCATGGAACTCACACCTTGTAAAGCATAAACAAACTTAAGAGTGTTCAAAGGTATGCAATTATAGTACAGTAGTACTAGAATTGAGAGGCCTCAGCTATGAGGGCAGGTTGAGAGAACTCACCCTCACAACTTTAGAAGAAAGAGGAGATGCAATAACTACGTACAACATCTTCAGTGGAGAATAAGTAAAGTTGATAAAGGAAGACTATTTAAATTAAGAGGCAAGACAACCTGTTCTGAAAAAGTGTTGCTATGTAGACGCTGTGATTCCACATGTTTTGTGATCTTACTTCTCGTCACCCTATCAAAGATTTTTATGATGTGTGATCTTAGTGCTACTAGTCTATATATATTTTTTTGCCTCTGCGTTATTCCCTTCTTCATGGAGTTGTGCTATTTCTGCTGTTATAGTACGTAAGGGATAACACCAGTATCTAAGCTCCATCTCCACATAATGTTTATGGCCTGACAGTGGTTTTTTATAATTCTTGATGAAAATGGAGTTCCAGGAATCAGGGTCTGGTGCAGAGTGCATAGGCATACTGTCTATATGTTACTTCAAAATCAAGTGGAGTTAGGGTGACATCTGATATATTTGATGTTGGTATTCCATTCATGAAGACTTCATATGAGTTATCAATCTTCAGTGTGTTTAAGGGCTCACTGAAAACGACATCATACTGGTCCCTCAGTATTTTTCTCATTTCTTTGTTGTCATCTGTGAAAGTTCCTTCTCCCTTTCACAGGGGCCCAATACTGGATGTAGTTTTTGTTCTATATTTTGCATAAGAGAAAAAGTATTTTGGAATTCTCTCTCCATACAGCCGATGAATGCATGTTCCAAATGCTATATGGATTAAGCACGACAAATAACTACCTATACTGTATTAATTTAACAGAAAATTTCAAGCAATTAGTTACAAAATACAACAAAATTGTCTTTCTCTCCTATGTTGATTATTGTATTTCTTCATTTTAATTTAAAATGAGAAAAGAATGCTGTTGAAAATGGTAATCTCATCTTGAACAAGAAAACATTTACAAAAAGGTTCTTTCCAAGGTTGTAAATTAATTCTAATATTTTAAATAAATAGGGATAATTTAATTATATTGCTGACCAAATGCTGAATTTACCAGGCCCAGATGCCCGTTTTAAGCTTTTTCAACATGAAGTGGCACTCTGAAAATTGCACAAAATTAAAGCACAGAAATGCATTATGCACTGATAATGCATAATCCTACAAAAAATTATAGCAAACTAAATATTCAAAAAGTAACTCACAATCTCCTAATTAACTCTGGTGGATATCTGTTACGAATATCTCGAGTCTCTCCAGGCTGGCGCAGGCGCTGCTCCATCATCAGACGATGCTCAATGTACACATCCAAAGCATCTCTAGCCACAGTCTAGAAATTACAAATTATTCAGAATTTTCATGGTAATTTACAAAAGACTTACACTTGACTATCTCGAATACAAACTTAATATTTTTATTAATCACTTATTATGAAACAATGCTGAAATCATCAACAGAACATTTACCTCTTTCTGTTTGTAATCAGGAAGCAATTCATAAACAGCCTCAGAGAAAAGATTAATGTATCGACGACTATTCGCCACCATTGCTTCTGCCATATCAGGGTCAAATTCCACTGAAAAGCATTTTATTATTAAGAATAATACACATCACTTGAGCACATTTATCATCCATTCTTCAAAACATTATTAATTTTAAATTAAACCAATACAATGAGGTAACACTTCTCTACAGCTTTACACATTTGTACTCACCAACATCATCAATATCAATGGTCAAGTTCACTTGCTCACGGTGTGCAACCTTGACCATCTGAGCAGCATATTTGAAGTGTTTCCGACCATCTTCACCAACATTATGAAATTCGGCCAGGAATCGCTTTATTGCTTCTGTTAGCAGAATTAAAATCAATCATTAAAAAAAATATTCATGGTATTATCACTTTTATATAAACAATAAAAAACATTAATTTGCCTTAAATTTAAAAAAAAAAAATTGCCCTTTCATGTCAAAACCATATACAGTATATAATCAAGTTGGGTTGTGTAAGCTTAAGTGGCATAAGGTTCAGTTGTATAATGTTAGGTATGTTTTAAAGTTCGTTGGCAAACCTTCTTGGGTGTGATGCAACTTTTATCACTTTATAGGGAGTACCCAAAGAGTACTTTGGGTATATTACTCTGCACCTTATGAGTCTGAATACAAATAACACAATCCTGAGCCTTGTGTACAAACATCAGTACCTAATGGGTCTGTAGAGTAGATTCATGTTAATATCTACAAGACCCGTGTCTTAGATCTATTCTCAGACATTAATTTTATGTTAATTTTGCCCCAGAAGGTTACTTTGATGGGCAGTGTCACTCATCCTGTGAGTAATTATAGAAAGAAGGCACCAAGCGGAGGAGACTGTAACATCCTGTGAGTTTTTACCATATTGACAGTCCCGAGCAGTCACTCATCCTGTAAGTGAACAGGATGAGTGACACAATCAATAGGAAGAAACCCGGCCAGATTGCTCAATCCTGCCACATATACTGTCTCCATACACAACTGGAGCAGCGAACTAGGGCTAAATATCGCTCGCCAAGCATAAAGATGACATCCCCGGGCGCTCGTCACACACCTCCACAAAGCAACAACTTGGTTCGTCTATCACCTCTCAAAACCCTCCATTTTATCTACAGCAAACATAGTTGGCCCGGCCACTTACCCTTCTCTTGGTCATAGTCACGAGCCTTAGCAGCCATAATAACGTCTGAGGCGAAGGTTTGAAGGGAGTTTAGTGGAGGAAAATGACAACAACAATCCCTCTCTCTCCCGGGCGCTGCTCTCAACTTTTGGCGCGAAATACTTTAGTAATAATGGTCATTCATAACCACCCGAACAGACCATATATGCATAAAACAACCTTTTAAGAGCCAAAATATCCAATCAATATAAGGGTTTATGCAAGTTAAGATATAGTTACATGCGATGCATTCGTGTGAGCGATAGAAACCCCCGCGGAAGATAATATTCAGTAATATTCTGTATTCTCGAATTTTGGGATGGCGGAGAGCCAGTTGTCGAGCTGGGGTTTTTGTCCCTTCTGTCCCTCTGTATCGCTGTGGTCAATGTCTAATTAATGTTTTAATATCATAAATGGAAAAGACACAGGAGCCACAAATTACATCTATGTCTATATACAGAAGATCAAATGTAAAATATAAATAGTTCTCGTAATTCATACCTCGCATCTCTCCCTGAAACTTTACTGAACTATTATATTTCTATATAGGCGTACTAATATATCTTAACGCAAGGCATGAATCCGGGCGTTGAATAAGGACAAGAGAGGTATTATTATAGTTGATATTTCACGAGGAGAAGGTTAATGGGAGTTGTGTTGAGTTTTTGCGGGCGTGTGGGACCGCGGGGGCCGCGCATGCGCTCTATCTTTGTTTAGTTTCCAATCTGATCAGCTGTAGCAATGGTGAGTCAGGGAAATATATTGTCACAATGTACCCTCATTATACGCCTCCTACCCATATTCTTCCCCCGATACCGGACCCGAGCCTCGCCACCCTAATGTCCCTTTTGATTGTCTTTTGCAGCACAAGCTAAAATCAGCCCAGAAAGAAAAAGTGAAGCAATTTATTTCCTTCACCCAGGCAGGCGAGAAAACAGCAATCTACTGCCTTGCTCAGAATGACTGGAAACTCGAGCTGGCTTCAGACAACTTCTTTCAAAATCCTGACTTATATTACAGAGAACAGCGGCCGTCAGTCGACAAGAAAAAACTAGATCACCTATATAACAGATATAAAGGTAGATACAACGTCCCCTCTTCATAAACTTTACTGAACCATTTTATCACCTAGTATTAAAATACATTTTTCCTCATGATTTCCAGTGTTTCAAAGAAAGCTTAATTATTACTAGGTTTTGCTCTATGACTAGAAAGGCACTTCTAAATTATGTTTACAAACTCTTTAATTAATTTTTCTTTCAATTTGTCTCTGATTTTTGGTTGTGGAATTTTATAAACACATTGGGCAGATTGTCTTAAAAACTCATAGGTTGGAAAAAATGCAAACGGCTAATATGGAGGACATAATTACCGTATACACGATGGAGAAGAGGCAGCTAGTTGAACCTTCATCATGATTGGTTCTTGAGTAGTTTTTAATAAACTGCACATAGGAGTGATGATTGAAATGTCTTGATGAGTTACTCCATGTCTGGCTTCTTCTGGTGAAGTCTCTAGCGAATGTCTTGGTTAAAGCTATCTAGACAAATCGGTTTTAGATTGCCCCATCATGGAGATGAGTGCCCTGTGTGGTGCTGTGAAAGCCGAGGTGGATACTGTGAGTGGCTTAGGATTCTGAGGCAATATGTCTCCACACCAGCAAGCTAGAGAACAGGTTAGCCTTTGGAAATCTTTTAATTTAAGTGTTTCCAAGAACAATGGTATTAGGAAGACCTTGAAGAGGCCTGTCATATCTTTCTTGAAGACCTCCAAGGCATTCTTTGTATTGGCGTATAAGTACTCTAGATATAGCAATCTTCTTGAAAGGTAAAATGTCAAGGGGAGTTAAACAAAAAAATAAACATTATACAGTATATAATATGTAAGTCTTTGTTGTTTGGGATTCACAGATCAGGCCAGTAGACATAACCACTTAAAGGAAGTAAGGCAATGAACCAACATTACAGGACAGGGGCCGGTGGCTGAATGGACAGCAAACTGGACGTGTGATCCTGTGGTCCTGGGTTTGATTCCGGGCGCTGGCAAGAAACAATGGGCAGAGTTTTTCACCCTGATGCCCCTGTTACCTAGCAGCAAATAGGTACCTGGAAGTTAGTCAGCTGTCACGGGCTGCTTCCTGGGGTGTGTGTGGTGTGGGGAAGAAAAAAAAAATAGTAGTAACAGTTGATTGACAGTTGAGAGGCGGGTCGAAAGAGCAGAGCTCAACTTGGTGAATACAGGAGGCATACCAACTGATCTGCCTCTCATAATGCCAAATAACATAGCAGTATTAGCGCATCGTAATACCAAATCATAAAATTGCTACCATTCTCCTGTTACGTACTTAGGAAAATGTTACACACAATTAAGAAAATCATATCCAACACTTGTTCTAAGAGAGTTAAGATGCCCTGGGGTCTCAAGTGTATAAGATAATTCTGCATGATACATACTGTGTTGATTTATTATTCATGTTCTAATATGTTCACAGATGCAAGCGAACCAAATAAAATTCTTGTTGATGGGGTCATGCGGCTGCTCGATGACCTTGACTTATCTCCAGACTCGCGTCTTGTGCTCATCATGGCGTGGAAGTTACGGGCAGCAACACAATGTGAATTTACGCGAGATGAGTTTATGAATGGATTTACTGAATTAGGGTTAGTACAAAATTATTTGTAAATAAAGTTATTATTTTGATCACAGTCATAAGCATGGCTTGGAGTCTGAGTTTGTTTTAATATGGAATCATTGTGACAATTTTGTTTACTCTGTGGTCACAAACGTAAGTAGTAATCTACAGTCCTGTACTCTAGAATGTCAAAATGAAAGTTTGTTAAATAATGTCATCTTTTGATAGAATTTTCAAATAGTCCTAGGCTCAGAGTTATAATTTTTACTGATATTGTTTGATATCTATGTAGAAAGTTTGGTGTACAAGTGGAAGAACTGTATCTATTTTGTGTTGTGTACCAGTGAACATCATGTTACATTGAAATTCAAAACATGTACAAGCAAGATATTTAGCAAAGTGCTTTGGTTAGTACATGATAAGTGGGTGTTTCTGTGGGGGAGTCCTTTGGTGGCTCCCTGAAGCTACATCACTGAAATAGTTTCCTGTACGTAGTCAGGTCAGTCTTAGGAATTTTGTTTACCTACCGGAGACCAGAGCCAAAACCTGGTGCCTTCCTACTATAATGTTGTTAACTACTTTGGGAGTGTGAGAATCTGCTCCTACCCATTTTTTTTTTAAGTCTGTTATTGGGATCACACTATTCATAGACCTGAATCAGTTCTCACAAGCAAAGCAGGACAGATTGGGAGTGAGCAACTGTGTCTAGTTTACTATAACAGTAGTATGATTGAGCTTTTGTTCTGGGGCCTCCTTTCTGTAGGTATTTCCTTCTGGTATTTTTTTTTGGGGGGGGGGATGGGATCACCCCCCCTTTAAGGGTGCAGTGGAAGCCATTGGCACATTTTGGCCTTCCTGGTCTCTGTTTTGTGGATTTTCTTGGGGATTTTCCTGGCTTTCTGGTGGCTTTTGTCCCCTCTCCCTTCTCTTTGACTTCAGGGGTTCTGATGTCCTTCTTTCTGCTCTCCATGGCTTTACATCTTGTTTGGTCTTGACATGGTTGCATGAACTCCTTCATTTGGAGGTCCTGGTTCTTTCTGGTTCTCCTGCAGGGTAGGGCAGCCCTGTGGGGCATTCCATCCATTTTCCAAGTATCCACACCTCCCTTACCAACCTTTGCTTGCCTGTTTTCACTCTCATTCACCTGGAATTGCAGGGACTCTTTCTGGGATGGTTATTTCTTTTACGTCCTCCTCTCTCATCCCACGGGTTGTTCCCAGACACCTCAACTCTGGGTTGAGGTTTTGAGCCCTTTGCTAATCTTGTCCCCATTAGGTTATTAGTCAAGTTCACACCTTCAAGGTCACTGCCAGGGATATGGTTTGTTTCTTTGTGGCAGGCCCTTTAGGTGGGGGAAGATGCATCCTCTTTCTCCAGGCTCTGCTCTCCAGTTCTTTTCTGATGGCTCCTAGCAGTTCTTTCACAGTGCCATGAGGGGGATCGCTTTGGTCTTACCCACTTTGGGGCTGGGCTGTTTGTATGGCTTGGCTTCTCTGGGTTTTGGTGCTCCATGTGGTTGTTGTGGGACACACCCACACACCATGTGGCTGTGTCCCACATTCTTGAAGACAGTTTTTCACTTCCATCCCTTTTCCACAGTGTGCATCGTTCAAGTTGTATTCTTCCATTTTATTTGCAAGGCATTCAGTTGCCTTGAGTTGGTCTCCTTTAGTCAGTATGGAAAGAGCTCTGCCTCTTTCAGTAAATTGACCAGGTGACACAGTGCTGGTTCATCCTTTTCTGCCAATCTCAGGGTCTGCTTTGTTGTAAGTGTTCTATCATTTGTATGGTATGCTTATGTTTTTGCGGCAACAGTGTTTTTTCTTTATTCCCATTATTTGGTATCCATAACATTTCATATCAAAGTGGCACCTAATTCACAGGAAAGTAGCAAAGTGATGGCCAACTTCACAGTACTCAGTGAGCTGTGGTATTTAATTCAGATATTGTGTTTTATTTCAGATGCCAAAGCATTTTGTTTTTATATCCAGATACTATAGGCACTATCCAGTACTCCTGACTTGTATAAGATCAGAAAGTTGCATGCATGATTGGTTGTGCCTGCCATTATGTACTGATGTGAAATGATTGGATATAAGCATAAACAATAAAATGAGAGGCTTGTGCTATTATTGAAGAATGGTGTAAGGATTAGATATACAGTACAGTATAATGAAAATATATGGATTGTAAAAATTAATAAGTTGCATGATTGAAAAGAACATACTGAGATGGTTTGGGTAAGATGAACAAATGTGGATGGTCTTCCTGTAGTACTTTGAAAAGACAATTTATATTACTATTAATGGAAAACTTTTAAAACGTTTAATTTTGCTTTTGATGGTAAATTGCTATTGTGATATTTCTTTGGAAGATTGTCCAATTGGTCGTATATAACCTAGTTTCTTCTGTTTTATTAGGATTACATAATTGTTGATTTATTCATCTACCTTTTTCATTGGTCTACTAATTCTTTAATCCTTTCTGCTCTAGGTGTGACAGTATAGATAAACTCAAAGCTAAGCTTCCAACGTTGGAACATGAGTTGAGAGATACGGCAAAGTTCAAGGATTTCTACCAGTTCACATTTAATTATGCACGGAATCCTGGACAGAAGGGCCTAGATTTGGATATGGCGCTAGCTTACTGGAATATTGTTCTTCAAGGAAGATTCCGCTTACTCAGTTTATGGTGTCAGTTTCTCCAGGTGAGTCGTGAATAAGTGAAGTTAATATGGAGACCCCATTCTCCCATTCTTGTCTTGACAATACACTACACTACCACTCATCAAGCTGCTGAATCTTCTCTCAAGTCTTCGATATTTTCCCACCATCTTTCATCACTAATTTGTACCGTTAATGTTCCCTGAACTTTTACCTCTCCTGTTGAATTTAAGCAGTACAGTATTATACAATTATATTCAGTGAGATTTTCCCATGGTTAAGAATGATTTTTCTTTAACACTTATAGTATACGACTTGGTGAGTGTCTTGGCACCCTATTAATGATAAAATGCCTTTTTTGACAGTCACTCCATTCTGATCTCGGTAGCTGTGCTCACTTTAAAGTGAAGTAGTCCGTTCAGCATCTTAAGCACCTGGACACTATGACAATATTGTCATGGGAAGTGTCTTATACTACATACTTATAGTAGTGTGAAGTATTGTACTAGACTTCACCGAGACAAGGTGTCAGTTATGGCATCTGGGCCTCTTTACAACACCATGTATGCTTGTGCTGTTAATCAGAAGCCCTCAACCCAATCTCCTTGCAGTCCCCTGCTTGGGAAATATTGTATTGGAGATCTCAACTAAAGCACGTCATTCTCTACCCCCCTGCAGTCTGCTGTCAGGAGTGTTCCTCTCAGCCCCTCCTCCTGCCCTCACAACAAATGTCCAGCACCCCTCTCCTTGCTACACCTTGACATTTATCTCCATCTGAGACTTACTGACATCACAAACAACATTGAAACCACTGGCCATCACACCCCCTCCCCCCCCCCTACATGCCATCTTACAACCAGAAGCATAAGCCAGATTTCTCTTCATTTTCCTTCCCTAAAGAAAAGGAAGTCTCAATCACTGACCTTTGTGTCATTACCAGACCATAGTCATTAATATTGCCTTCGTTCCCTCAAAAGTCCTCATTCTCGCTTGGACTACACATCACTGCTCCTCTTGAGCCATGCACACATGTTTACTACAAGAATGGCATGTTTGCAGGAATCACTCTTTGCACACGTTCATAACATATCCCCTCATTATGCCTATATTACTCCTGTGGAGTCCCATACCTGTTGTTCTTCTATTGGCCTCAGGCTGCTCGACTTGGCTATCCCATTTTCCTTGAACATTTTCACCAGTATTCTCGCTTTACTGCTCTGTATACCAATGAATAAAAATATACTGATGGAGTAATGAATTTCAGAGAAGTGTCTTATTTTGGGTAGTAAACTTTGAATGTTGACGGTGAGGAAACTTCTTTTTGAGTAAAGCTCGGCCATTATCAGCTATGTAAAATAATTGTTTCTTAAAATAGAGGGAATGACACCTGTACAGAATTAATCTGATCCTTTTATTTTGAGGATGGGTTACAAACGGAACTAGACTTGAGCAGAAGAGAAATCAAACTCTTCAGGTCATAAAGTAACTCATTGAATTAAAATGTAAGAAAACATTACCTTTAAACTGTAAACATTTTTATGACTGGTGTATAATCTAGTTAAACATTTTTATGACTGGTGTATAATCTAGTTTTGCAGCTAAAGGGCTAACGATAGCAAAGTTTGAATCTTTGGTTGAATAAAATGAGAGAGCGATTACATAAAATAAACTGAAGTATGGTAAAATTAAAACTTGTGGATATGTTCTGCCATCAGAAGTGAAGGTGGACTTGTAGGAAGGATGCGGTCCTGATTCAGGAAGAGTTTATAAAATGGGGATAATTGGAGTGTTTAAATCAAATGCAGTACGGTACTGTACTGTCATAGTGACTGTTAGAAATGAAGATGATACCAGGAAGGACCTCTTCCTCATTCGAGTATATCTTCATATCACAAGAGTTATATGGAGACATGTGGAGGATCAAAATGAATTGGGTACCTGCTGGCATATGGGGTATATATATATTTTTTTTTTTTTTTTACAGGACAGTACTGTATATGAATGAAATGATGGCTACTTGATTCAGATTTAGCAGGCAGCTTGCTTAAAATCTCTATTTTTTCATTGCTTTCTGACAGTTTAAATAAATACTGTTGATTATTTTTTATGAAATTTAACTTGCAGCCTTGACAAATTTGTGTTTCTTGATTTAGCCTTACATTAACTTTTTTTTTTCTCACACTTGAGTGAAGCCATTAAAAGTTCTATCTTATTTTATAACATTTTATAAGCTTCTGCATTGTTAGGCTAAAACTTAATGTTTCTCTTCACGTTAGGTCCATTATATTTACCAATTAAAGGTGTGAAAGAGATTACACATAAACCACATGTTTGTTTTTCTCTGCCAGGAACACCATAAACGGTCCATACCAAAGGATACTTGGAACCTTCTCCTGGACTTTGCCTTGATGATTAATGAAGATATGTCTAACTATGATGAGGAGGGAGCGTGGCCTGTGCTAATTGACGATTTTGTTGAATATGCAAGACCAATTGTCACAGGGCAACCGACTCAAGTCTAGGGGATGGGTAGATGTGCTGCTAGAACTCATAACAGCTCAAGAACTTTAATTTCTTTTTACAAGACCAGTGTGTGGGATTTTAATGTAAGAAGTGAATTCTAAAGACAAGATTCTAAAAATCTGTGTTACCATCATTTAGTAAATTAAATACAGTATGTTGCAAAAATGTGGTATTTTTTAATTGCTTGGATCATCGAGAGACGTACCAGTCGTTAATGCAAGTGGTTTAAAAATGCCGAAATAATGAAAATTATCATTGGTGGTGTTTTCATACACAGAAAACAGCAAAATCTAAAAACATTTAAAAGTATTATGCAAATACAGTAGTTACATAATTCTCAACCAAATAGCATTTACTCAAGGAAACAAAAATGCAGTTGAGAATATGTATGGGCCTGTTGCAAGCAATAGCAGTTGGTCTTAACTGAATACAAACCTGAAACATCTTTTCAAATTTCTTATATGTTGCTGAAGTCCATTAAAAGAAAATAATAGAAAGTGACAGGGTACAGTCAGTTTGCTTGTCTTTATTTTGAAGAGAAGCCATTGTATATTTGTGAGCCTGTAGCTAGAAAATCAGCATTATTTTTATCTTTGGGCAAGAAAGGATGTCTTCATCACATTGCCTTCTAGAAACTTAAATTCCTCAGATTGCAACCATATGAAAAAAATCTTGAAGTTAAATTCCCTATGTTTGACCGGAGCTTATTAAATAACACGTGGTCACTAACTGCAGTAAATATAGTGTGTATAAACTTTAGACTGGAAATTAGCTTGCAGTTTTTAATTCTTTCCTGCTTATTTCCATGGTGAATATCAATTGACACCTGAGGGCATTTTGTACAGCCTAGCTCTATTGTAGCTAGAGATGTTCATCACTTATTCAGGTTTGAGGATTTTTGTTGTGTTAGAGTTAACCATTGTACAGTATATGAATTTCTTGCGTTGCTAAAAGGCAAATGTTTAACTCTTTACTATGAACCATAATAGCATGGCAATACTGAAATCAAAGAGTTTGTGAATACCTCTGCATCACTTAAATCATAATTACATTTTTACCAGTCTCCAATATATTTTTTTTTATTATTATTATATATTCTGTTGTCAAGTAATTAGTAGATTTGTACTACACTTTACTTGGTATGCAATTTTAAAAAGTGCTTTGTATGAATTAGAGATCAAGACTTTTTAAATCAACATAAGTAATTTTATTATTGTTGAATATATGTAACATGATATGCATTTTGGTCTGAAGATTATTTTGCTCATTGATATATTAAAGTATTTGATCAGTCCCAATTTTAATATACAAAATATTCAAATGCACGTGTGTGCGCTTGTGAGTAGGTACTATCATGTGCAAGTACAGCCATGTGCATGTAACCACGTGGGAGGAGCCACAACCATGTGGGGGTGTAGCCACAACCATCCTTGCACATGTAGCCACAATAATTGGTGCGTGTAGCCACAACCATCCTTGCACGTGTAGCCACAGCCATGTGTCTGCTCATACATTGCTCTACTCTAATAATTTGGTCTCTTCTATAATTTGAGGGGCACTTCCATAATTTCTTGGATAATGCTGTAAAGTAGGACATTTTATAATATTGGAATTTCATGCTGTGATATATTTGGGAATATCTGTAAGACAAAGTATGTCTTTGACCTTTTTCAAAGTCAGCCAATTAATAAGAGTTTTTCAGTCGTTAATTGCACTGTCATTATAATGTCAAATAATTGGCTCTTCTCTCTCACATGTATCATATCTTAGAAACTTGCACTGTTCAGAGTTAATCAAGATTATGGTATCAAAATAGTGTACTGTACTGGTATACTCTAGTAGCATGCAATACAGCTTTCTAATATGAAAATCTTAATATGGCCAGATAGTTACCCAAGCAGTACAGGAGTGTCAGGTGTTGAGGAATCTTCAGAGTGGACTGTTCCTAAGTTTCTAAACCTACCGTACAAGCTGAATAATTTGCGAGTCCCATTTTTGTCATAGAGAGTTGTGGGGAGCTTCGATTTTATACATCCTAACAATATTGTGGCATTCACTAACACATTTCCCATACCCAATGTTATGGGAGCTTGTTGTGCAAGAGGCCAGGAGTTGTTTAAATATATCCAAAATAAATAAATATATAATTTTTTTTGTACAGTACTGTACTTTGAAGACAAAAATATGAATGGAATTTACTGCATCCATTGATGTCATGACTGCTTTTATGACACTAAAGAATGGCAACTTAATTATAGAAGTCAGATATTTTGTATATATTCAATCTAATGTAAATAAATTTTGTTGATATAAATTCTAAGTCCAAATTTCACCAAACTAGGAACTCCCATCATTCATTTCAGTGACTAAATTCTTAGCTATATATAGAAATTCATTTCATGGCTGGTAACAAAAAAAAAAAAAAGAAAAAACTAACCCTATTAAAGTAGTGGTTGCATCTTCAAATGATTATTGTGTTCAATACTTTAAAAAGCCGTTGAGAAGTTTGTTAGGGGAAACTTGAAAGGTATTATGAAGAAAACTAATGTCATGTTGGATACAAAATATTGTGATTGTGTACATTAGGTGTGCCCACTTCATATTGAATTGGGGTATTTAAATGATAGGTTATTTTGATACTTTGACAATTACCATATGTTAAGGATTTTTTTTTCTATCTGAAAAACAAATTTTGTTACAACAGCGAAATCACCTTTTTTTTTTTAGCCATTTCAGTTTAGCTTGAGCATCATTTTCATTAATGAAGTGATTTCTGCAAGTTGTGAACTCGTAGCACTACAACATGCCTCCTCGTATCAGACCCCCTCCATGCCTGTGTGAAGTTGACATAACAGGTAAATACTGACTGTTCTGTAATACTTTCTACACTTGTAAATAAAAAATTTTGATTACTGGATTTTTTTTTTTGTTTTGTTTTATCTTTACCAGTGAATTCCAGATTCCTCCACGAGTGAGCTCAAAGTAACAAACGTTAACTCATTCTCAGTTGTGCAGAGGAAATTAATATCTGCATTATTAGAGGCTTTGAAGCGAACAAAATTAAAGTATTTGTAAAACTTAATTAGTTTGTAGTAATGGATAGGTTAATTTTTCTTACTGCCAAATATGATGTTTATCGGTATTAAAATTTATTAATTTTTCGTCTCCAACTTTATATCCATCGTCAGTAAACTTTTCATTTTGTGCATTTTTACCTTTTGAGACTTTTAAAAAATCTGTGGTTTTAAATGTCAACTGTAAATAAATAATGATCCGTATTTTGTGATGAATAACTTTAAAATTGGTGCAGGGTAATAGATTTTTGTTTGTTTTTACTTAAAACTGCAGAGGTTCTGAATTTTGTTTCTAACAGTTATTACACACCTTGACTCATTTTAGACCGTAATCTAAGCACTATTTCCCGGACGCAATCCACCAGTTGATTTGGATCCTAGTTCCCAATTATTTTACTTGGGAAATATACAAATGGAGTGAAGGAATTTTGTCTAGTGTCCTATTCTCTCCCAAGATTTGAACCCAGAACATTTTGCAGTGTGCTAGTCATTATTTGACTAAATAAAATAGTTTGTAGTAGGATCAGGCGTATTATGATTTAGAAATGCAGGTATTGTTAGAAAAGTGTGTATATAACAGTAATACAGTACATGTTTTCTTTTCTAAAGTAAATTTTCCACTTTAATTGGATAGCCCATCCTCCTGAAATGATGGTATTGTACTTATAGTAACTATTTCGTCGAAAGTACCAGTATGACACGATGGACCAGTAGATATTAGAATTTTGTACTAACAGTATTCATTTTATAGAGCCCCCCCCAAAAATAAAGCTAAAAACTATACTTAAATATTCCTATGCCTAATACAGCACTTGTATGTACTACATTAGGCCTAGGACTGCCAGGAGAGGTCTTATATTTGTGTTGCTGATAAAGTGATAAAAGTTTCTAGTTTGTTCAAATTCACTAATACAAAATTTTACTATCTGATGATCCAGTACATCATATTGGTACCTTCAACCACGTAATTACTAAGTATTTTCATTTTAGAAGGATGGGCTGAATTGGACTAGTATATTGACTCAAGTTATTTAGCTACTATTCTAATGAGACAAACTTCTGCATGCAGAGGGACTTTTACATTGGCATGAGTAAACTTTCATGTCGCAGAGCACATTGGGTTTGGAGACGAGGTATCACACCCATTCTCGACCCACTCCATCCTTTAGTGTGTTTTATTGCATCACTCTTGGATCGGTTTTGCTACATGCCCAATAGTCAATTGTACTGACCTTACTATGCTGCCTGTTGAATGGGTATTACCCTCTTCCCTGAGGCCTGTGACATTTGTGTTTCCTGGGTTTCTATTTTATCTAGAGCCTCCATTTTTTTATCTTTATTATATTTTTGTAGTGACAAGGCTTAATAAGTGGAAGTTGCTTTGGGTTCATTTGTGTTTTTGCAGCTTAAGTGTTCAAGTGTTGCCCTGGACTGAGTCCATTGTGGTTTTGGGGGATTTGAAGTGGAGCAGCTGGTGAATTCTATTGGTTCTGTGATTCACCCCTTTTCCTTCCACCGTCTGTCTGGCTTGGTTTGAGACCTCTCATAACCCTCACCCCCCCCCCCCCCCCAATTGCTCCGAGCCCTGAAACATCTGAGGGTTTCAAAGTCTGGACTGAAATTAGCTGTGGGTGTAGCTTGAACTTCTCCCGAGATCTCCCCTTCCACATTGGCAGTAGGGACAGTTGAGCCATTGCTCTCTGCTGAGATTCTGTAGCCTTCTGTTTCTTGGATCCTTTTAGTGTGGAGATGCCTTTTTGTCTGATCAGACTTAAACCTTGGCTCTGGCCTGAAGTTTTTATTTAGGAGTTACTGGGTTGGAGAGAGCCCAAGGTAGGTCCCTGGGGTGCCCTTCAACCCTTTCTGGGCACCGATTTTCTCTGCCGGGGGGGGGGGGGGGGTGTTCTTCTCCATCAGTATTTGAGCGTGGTTTCTCGGCTACTCCTAGCGTGTCCATTTACATAACTGAGTAGAGTCCTTGGATACATATTTCAGGAGGTTTCTGTCATCTCACTTTCCATCGGTTACAGTTTGGTCGGTTGTTTCAGTTCCTTCTGAGGGATCAGGCCTTTAGATTGCAGTTATGAGGCAAGACAGCTCCTTGTGCAGCTGCTTATTGCTTCTGGAGCCTCAGCTGAGGAGGTTCACAGATCCATTGTTCACTTGGCTTCAATTTTCTACATCTGGGCTGTAGTTGGGCTTTTATCTAACCTGTTCTGGGGTGCATGTATGTTTTAGCTTTGATGCCAGGAGTGGTGGCTGTGTTGCCTGCAATGTGGGTTTCATTGTCTTTGTCCAACTGCCCTTTCTTTAGAAGGCAGTTGGGAGTTACCTTCAGTTTATCTAGCAAGCTGGTGGGCTGTGCCTTCTTTTATTGATCGAGATAGACTTCCTCGAATCGATAGAACTGCCTCTTCCCCAGGTGGGGGATGGAAACAGAAACTAGTGGAGCCAGACTTGTTGACCTGGTAATCTGAGATGGAGGGATATAGTAAAACATCCATATGAATTTAAAATGATTAGGATGGACCCCAGGAGCCATAGGATACCACTTATCAAAGAAGCGAGGGGGCAAAAGTATGAACCAGGTGTACCTCGTCCCTAATGGAGCTCCCCCTTTTTCAACAGGGAAGACCAATCTGAACAACATAAATTGTGTTCATCTATGCTGGTGCAGAGATCCCTCTGCCCCCCTTTGTGGCCAAGCCTGGATACCCAGATCTATCCACACAGCAGTTCCTTACAGATAGTCAGATAATCCAGACAGTAATCTGAAGAATATGAGCATCTTTTGTTGCCTGTTGCCACAGTAGGCTGGAGAGGGAAGCTGAAACTACTCTTGACTGCCTAGTAACTCCATGCTAAGGAGGTGCTCAAGGGGAAAACATTCCCCTTGAGCTGAAAATATATGTATATAAATATATAATATAATATGTCCAATAAGTAACACACACACATCTGGAATCTGTACATCAGTTGATTGACAGTTGAGAGGCGGGACCAAAGAGCCAGAGCTCAACCCCCGCAAGCACAATTAGGTGAGTACACACATACACACAGTTAGGGGGGACATGATCACATTCAAGATTCTCAAGGGAACTGATAGGGTAGATAAAGACAGTCTATTTAACACAAGGGGCACACACACTAGGGGACACAGGTGGAAACTGAGTGCCCAAATGAGCCACAGAGATATTAGAAAACTTTTTTAGTGTCAGAGTGGTTGACAAATGGAATGCATTAGGAAGTGATGTGGTGGAGGCTGACTCCATACACAGTTTCAAGTGTGTATGGAGTCAGTTGAGAGGCGGGACCAAAGAGCCAGAGCTCAACCCCTGCAAGCACAATTAGGTGAGTACACACTAAAAGAATAGGGGTGGTAGAAGACAATATCACAGTGTTCAGTGAGGATCCACAAGCTCTTCTCTAAGTACACTTTTATTTTCTTCTGCAAGGCCCTACACTTGCACAAGAGGTGGTACCCCTTTTAGGTTTTAATATAATTAATATACTGTATATCAATGTTACTATATTACATTATTTAATGTTATGATTAGGAAAATATAACATTAAGTAAATAAGAATCTGGCAAAATGATGTACCCACCAGCCTAACCAACATCAATCACCAAAGGTCCCTTTCAGAAATCAACCATCTCATTTTTAGCCAGAAAAAATTAAACAACAGTAAGTGAAACTACCTCTAGGACCAAAAGAGCAAGCCCTGTTTCCGGAAGAGCATGAAGTGCCCCAACCCAACCAAAGGAGTGAGCGGGCCATTAAAAACAAAGCCTTGAAAAAACAATCCCAGACAAAAGGGGCAAGAGGAGAGAGTTTGAAAATCTACCCAAAGAGTTTCGTGAACTTTATACAAAACAGTAGCAGCTTTCATAAGAGGACTGGACAAGTTTCTGCTAGGGTTATGGAATCAGCCTGGATATGATAGGTATGTGATATTTGTGGGCTACAAAAACAAACAGCCTCACAGACCAGGTAATCACCAGGGAAGACAGGCTACAAGCCAGGCTGATATAGAACAACTCTTAAAATCAACAAAAGGTAAGTTCATTTCTATAAAAGGTAAGGGTGGACAGTGGATATATTTCTTGGTAAAGTTCTCAGCAAGTTTTGTAGTATAAAATTTGATGTGTTTGGTAGCCCAGGGTGAATGGCATCTATACATAACCCAGCTCTGAATGTTGATGGCCAAAGTGAATTGGTACCAGACTTTTTTGTTATCTTCCAGTAGCAATGATTCAGTGAATATACTGTAAACCTACAAAAATCATAGAATATTCATACAGAATAGTAAAAGCAATAATCATGATTTGCTTTATAATCTAAAGTTATATGAAGAAAGCAACACAAAAGATGCATTTTGAGTGTGAAGACGATTCTATGCTGTATTTGTTCTAAAAATAATGTATTTGTCATTAAATGAGATGAATGAGTCTTAAAATGAACAAAATCAGAATTTGTATACAAAATGATAATTACCATTATTTAATTTGGAGATATTTTATTACAAATTCACAACCCCCAACTGATCTGCATAACTTTAATAAAATTGAGTTGCCTAAAAATTACCTCCAGAATGGAGCATACATTTAGCTTTCAAAAGTGGACAAGGTCACACCTGGCCAGAACAACATTCACAGCTTTACAATGAGAGCCCATCCCGGCTCAAACTTAAATCCTTGTTAAGAAATAGGTTAGACAAAATGTTTTTAAAAACTCAAGACATCTACCCACATGAAATAGTACCTGTGATGCAGGATGTGTGGATGGATGGATAATGCCAACTTGCCAAAAAAAAAAAAAAAAAAAAAAAAAAAAAACTTCAAAATGGGAAGCCACTTGCCATTAAATGGTAACTTTTAAATAAGTACAACACATAGTGAAAAAGGGGTTTATTTCATTTTCAATGGAGATTCTAAGTGAATTACAGTAACTGTTTCTACATGTGAAATGTATGCTATATGTTCTATATAAAATGCAAAAGTTTGTTTTACTTCATACAACATTCATTTATAAGTAATGCAGAATCATTTGAGTTATACAATTGCGCAAAAATTCTCGCTTGCATACACCACAAACACAAGTACTATGGACCATCCAAATAAAAACCAAAAAACTAACAATGAACAACCCAAAAGTTAATTCAGTGGCATCAGCACTAATTTTTACACATACAAAAGAACTGAAGAAAAATGGCAAATTCCATTCCTAAAGGATCATCACTAAATGGTGTACTCCATAAACAAGGCTCCAGTAGTACTTTTAACAGACGCAACTCGCTTACAATACTTACTGTGACAGACTCAGCCATTAAAGGCCTTGTGAATGGTCTTATTAAGGCATGATAACTACTTGCAAAACTTTAAAAATTACCCTTATTGAAGTACCATCTAAGGCTTGCAATGGCTAACCTCTTCACAGTTTCTTCTATTCTACAAATAATGGACTACTCCAGAATCAAAACAATATTCCTCATGTGGAAGTAAGAATTCCTCTAAAAATGAATTGGAATTCCCATTGTATAAAACTTATTTAAAATAGTTAAAGCTAATGTGATCTCTCACTTGTCATACTAGTTAATAAGTGATAGAAACATTTAAATTTTGAACATTGATGAGGTGAGGCAGTAATGTTTGTGGAGTGGCCCGAGGGTCCCCAGGCTGGCGGAAGGCACCTGTAATCGAGACTCCTGCAGCACAGGACAGTGAACTTAATACACATGTAGCCTTACTCAAGGAACCATCTTAGCAATGGAAGGCTCAGCTATTCCAGCAATTAATTGCACTCATTCTACGATAGTTTCTGCAAACCAGAAATTCGTGTTGCCGCAATTCATCATCCCACCATTTCCTATCTCTTGTTTAAAATAAACACCGGTCAAGCATGAAATCTCGTTTTGATCATGACAAAATATCTTAATTCCTGTAGAGCATCATAATTCTACTAATGAAACTAGCAGGTATCTCAGGATTATTCCTTCAATTGATCATAAGATGAATCATATACTGTAGTCAAAATTTATGTTTACTAAAGTTACCATAAATGCACATATATTTTTATTACATTATCAAAATATAAAATATGATCATGGACTTCAGTTTAGTGTGAAACACCATTAAATGTTGCAAAAGGAATACTATATTACACACTTTCCCTGTGCATTGTGTTACCATGCCATGTCAATACACTAAACCACTTTTCTTGCACCTAACGTCCTTAAATACTGTACATCAATAATCATTCTACCATAAATCTTTACATGGTCAAATTAAGAATTTTGCTGTAGAGTATATTTTTTGCCATTTACTAATGGGATTGCATAAGTACCATAGTACTGGGATGAAAATAATTATTCACAACCTATGATGCAGAATTACATTATAGTACTTATTTTTGCAACATAACCGTGGTTGCATTCTCTTAACCACCGTGTAGCGCTGAGCACCTTGAGGCGCTCTGAGAGTTGTGCTATTTTTTTGTTTTAATTAGGCTATATTTTAATGTTTTTTAATGTTTCATCACTCTTTGGGTTTTGAAATGAAAATGGTTGAATTTGGAAACATTTTGACATTAACTTTACCTGAACATTTATAAAAACAACAAAACATATGTCCTTAACAATTGCACTATAAAGTTTTTGCAAAAAACAGGTGCACAGCACAGTGGTTAATAATTTGGACTAAAGTGACTCTTTTTGCTTGGAAAGCATTCCCTCCCTTTAAACATTAATGATGACAAACAAGATGTATACTTGTCACATTCATTAAGACAAATGTTATCTCTTATGGTACATTTCCTGTACAGTAAATCAAAACATCATAGGATGTGTGTGTCTAATTTACCTTCAGGTATGTAAAAGTAATAACTAAATTTATTAAAATTCTTAAAAATTGCCCATTTGCAATTTTCCCAAAATACTTCTAAGCAAATTCTGTAAATTTTCGTAAATGACCCATTATCTAAATAAAATAATTATGCCCTTTACGTCATGTTATGATCACCACCAAAAAATTATATATAGCCATCATCATGGCCTTTAGCAAGGCTTATCACCCTGTGTAATGAGTAATATATGCCTTAATAAAATCCCATTTACAATTCAGAATCCCTTATCAATACAAAAAACTCTGTTACATTGCATGAAATAAACTCTTATTAGTAATGACCAATAACCATAGCCTTATATAATAATTTCTGTAACATGCACACACCTGGGTAATTTTTTTGTTTTTTTGTTTTTTTGAGGAAAGTTAATTACAATTTTTTTTTTGCACGTGGTTTCATTCAGGGAAGAATAGCATCACATAAGGATTACCTTCATTTGAGGTTCACCACACAGACTTTGATCATTTTCTGCTTACAATTATAGTGAGGTTAATACCTAACTAAAATTTGCCTGAGACAGGTATACCTGGCCACAAATATAGTGGTCGATATCTCCCTTCCATCAATTTCACATGCTCTACTATACATGAGTCTAATTGAAAACTGAAACTTAAGAAAGTTATTTTTAATTACTTAAAATGTTCCATTCACAGTAAATGAACTTTGATACTGTTTGTCATTTAGATTTTTAAGCTTCCAAATTTATGGGTTGGTCATTTTGATTAAAACAGGGTCATCCAGATTTTTGTAACAAACATCTCGGTGGAAGTTCACATGTTAGAGGAAATTAAACATAATAATGGTTCCCATCAGAAAAGAAGCAATTTTTAGTGTTTATTTAATTTGAATGTCATTCCATTATTTATTAGTAAAAAAAATAAACAATATAATTGGTATCCACTAGTAGTAGTAGAAACTTGGTAAGAGTTCATTTAGGTATGATATGGGATTCTTTTAGTTAAATTACATTTTGGCAGAGCTCCTTTACAATACAGCTATGATAAATAGCAAAATTAATTTTATTTGAAATTTAACTATACATTTTGTACTGCCTCTTCTCCTCAGTGGAAGAACATAAAATATTAATGACCTCAAGACACTGATCATCCCATTTTATAGTAACCTAAAATTGTACCTCACATGAAGATTTCCATCGACATTTTAATGATGACTTCTTTTAATTGTATTACTGAATATTTTTGGTAAACCTACTGACCTTAGAAACCATCCACAGTAACAGGACGTATACTTCACTATTCAACTCGAAGGCATGGTCTCCACCTGGTCACTCACAGCACTCCATGTAGAGGCTTAACATATTCAGAACAGGTGCCTTTATCAGTCACCACCAGCTGCCAATACTGAAGCTAATGTCACAAGTGCCCAACAACATATAAACACACAATGGCAGTGTTTTGGTTTGGTTTTCTTAGTCTTTTACCTCACAATCTATGTAAGGGTGAATACAATAGATTTTCCATATACAAAATGGAGAGAATGAAAACTACTTCACATAATTTCCACTGCAAAATTGCACCTTTGTATTACATAGTACAAAGACCCAAGTATTTTGGAGAGCATCACTAAACCACCTTTATGAAATCTAAACTCAACATCAATGGAAACTAAATTTGATGTCGTGATTATAAAATAATTGCATATGTAATCATTCATATGAATTACTGCATGGTAAGATTTGGCACAGCACAGCAGGACATCTAGATATGCAATGCCACCTGTGGCTAACCTCTAAAATACCTAACATTAATACCTAAATATTTCAAAATCTGATCAAATAATACCAATTATCATTCAAACTAGCGATTCATATTTACACTTACGTCAAAGTTTAATTAACGAATAAACCATGATTTAAGAATAAATATACAAACTTATACAATAAAGAATATTAGTGATCCTGGTGTACTGAATTATTTAGGTATTGATGATTTTACCATGAACAATATCTGGGCAGTGAGCAAGCAAAACTGATGACTGATAATTCACTTTCCTTTAGTCTAGCATTCAGGTACAGTTGGCATCGAGATAATGATATAAGGCTAGTTTCATATTAACCCCTTGTGCATAGTATTGAACCTCACTCATTTCCTCTTTCAGTCCTGGCATGCGTATTTATATCACACAACTCAAGGGGGGATTAAACATACCAGCAGCAGCAGCAGCAGCATGTGGTTCTTGCTGCTGGCAACACATTGAGAAGTTATTCTCGAGCACCAATTGTGAACAGACCTGTCTCTTGTGACCAGATTTACCTATCATGACATTGTGATATTGTCTCGTAAGTACTCACTGCTGATTTGTATACAAACAAAAAATTCATGCCAAGTTTTAAGAGATTATGCATATTCAGCATACTGTATACCTATAGTTTATACACTGGGAAAACCTGTGCACCCTTACTACCCTAGAGCTTACAATCATATCTTGCTACACACACATGCAGGCAACCTAAACAACTTTCTTTAACAATCTCTCTCTCTCTCTCTATATATATATTTAGATTTTTGTGTAAAATTTACAAATCTAATTAACTGCTTTTTTTTTTATCATCCTAATTTTTTTTATAATCCTAATTTTTTTATTTAACAATTTTAATTTTTGTTAAGTACTCTCAAAGTGATTATAAACTTAAATGGATAAGATAAATTCAACTCATTTCAAATAGATTTTGCTAGATGCAATTGTTTCATTGTTCAATTGTTTCTCAGCCTCCTGTAAAGGATTGCTAAGCATAACTTCTCAGTTCAGACCATCTTAGTGACAACTGAAGCATTCAAAATAACACAAGGAGAAGTCTATATAAACATTTCAGGAATGTTAATTCCCCTCTCGAACATCCTGAGACTTTAATTACTGGATCACCAATGATGCACTACCTACTTCCATATTCTCAAACTCTATAGGTAAGTGGGTTAATGAGGCATCATCACTCTCAGATAACAGTGGTGAGAATGGAGCCATTATCTTTCTTCATTGGCACTCTGCACAACTGCCAATTATTTCAAGCCACCTTTGGTATAATCTATCACATGTTATCACTGAGATGCACTTGGTAAGTTTGGCAATCTCTTGCCAAGTTAGCTAAGAAGGAGGTGTTCGCATTATAAATTGTGGTGGGAATGGTCAGTTATCATTCTAACCACTTGTTGTCACAGTTATTTGCAAGCTAGTCCCACCTATTGAAAAAATTAACTGTAATGTAATTATTGTATAAAATGTGTGTTAAATAAGTTTTCTTCATCAACAACACTGTACATGAGATCGTTCAATAGTAAGTAACGAATGAGCAGCACAAGACACCGTGCTCACGACTAGGCAGTCTGATATAAAATTAGCGGCGAACAAACCTCATTAGGTGATGAGTAAAACAAGTACCTTGTTGCGCAACTCACATATGGGTTGTCGACCACCAATATTGAACTGTTTGCTTTGTAATATGCTATCAGGAAGAAGAAACTATTCTTATTCAACATCTTATTTGCTGTTCAAAGTACTTTTTAAATGGGGTTAAATTGGAGGCTCATCAATTTTGTGAGAGTTTTGTCAGCCGCTGAACGTGAAAGACTGGTGTGGGTTGGGCTACAAACATGCCCAATGATCACAACACACGCGGACGGGAGTGGGAAGGCCAGCCCGGGGCTCGGTGACTTGCTTAAGAAAGTTTCTTAAAAAAATAAAAAATAAAAAATTTGAAATAAAAAGAATTTTCAATCACCATCGATGTTTAAGCACACGTACTTATTATCAAAATGAGCTGACCACTTTTCCAAACTCCACACACTCAAGGATCTTAAGGACCGCTAGAGGGGCTTCATCTTCTGTGGCTTTACATCCACATTCTCACTGTAAACATGAACCACATATCCAACAGTTCATTTGTAATAAATACTTTACTTTGCCTGCAGCCATTTATGACTATCAACAACACCGATTGCACTGATTCTCGTGTGTTCGTAGTTTACAGCTCATCTTGATTTTGAGCATGAGTATTTGATTTCAGATCAGGCATGAGATGAAATAATGGCACTCTTTCTTTGTTGGGCAAATTAATACATTAAGTCTTGTCTTAAGCATTATTCCCAGGATCATTGGAAAGACCTGGATCCATACAAAATTGTTATAAAAATAGCAAAACTAAGTTCTGGACCAAACTTAAGACAAATGACACTCAATACTAAACAAATAATAAGCTAAAATAACTAAAACCAACCATCAAGAATTAAAAAGGCCCCTAAGAAAGTCTGCCAGCCTGTTGGATACTCTGCGCAGGCCATCCAAGCATCCTTCCCCCTCTGGTGTGCCCCCATGGTGAGAACACCATGCAGGACACCCTCCATGATTCATCAATGCAATGTCTTGAGCTGGAGGGCCGCACAGAGCAAAGTCATTATGCCCTGAGGTGGTGACACACAAGAGAGATGCGCCGAGCCCTGAGTTACCCACCGAGTCAAAACCCAGTGGTGGAGTGTTGGTATTGGTAGTTGTGGTGGTGATAGTTGCAGAGGCTCTACCACTGCTGTTGATACTGCTGCTGCTACTACTACTGCTGCCTCTAGCAGAATAATGGTGGAGATGGAGGGGCGATGGGGACCTGGGATTGTGGTGATGAAGGTAGTGGAGATGTTGATGGTTGTTATGAGCAATAAGCTGATGAGTGTTGTTGTGATGGGCCATCATCTGATTATTATGATATTGATGATAAGGAGTCTGAGGATACTGATGTCCATGGTGATGAGCTTCTGAAGCCCCACACACATCGTTGCCTCGGGTAAGAATTGCACCTCTGCCGGCACCACTCACATTCCCAGGATCAAGACTCCCACATCTTACATCCCTAAGGTTCAGCGAATGCTAGCAGCGACGGTTTCTCCAGTAGCTCATGTAATCCTGAAAGAACAGTACCAGAAAAATAAAGCTTAAAATTAATTTATAACTTGAAATCACTTTTTTATAATTAGTGGTTTGATTATCAAATAATGTTACTAGCATAAAATATGCACAATAGGTTAAAAAATTTAGCCGAATAAATATTGTGAATTAGCTATCAACCCAGGTAAGTGTGTACTGTACAGTTTTTTCTTTTTTTAAATAAATTTTCTCTTATTCTTTTGCCTATTGCTAATTTTTGCCCGAATTATTATCTTCCCATAAGAGATGCCAATAATAAAGCTTCATCTGAGTTTTTTTTACCATTAGATGAGCTCATCAATACAGTATCATCATCCAATCAGTGGATGAGAAAGTTCAAGCCAAAAATTTGACCCAACAACACAGAGAAACATGAGACAATATCACTTCCACCCACTCAAGACTCAGTCTGAGTGTGAACACAAAATTATTATATTAGATGACATTTAATGCCAATATTTATTAAAAGCTTGTTAAAATTAAAAATAATCTTGGTCATGATACATTTTGTAATATTGTATAATATACAGTATAAATATGTAAAGGGTATTATAAACAAACATCCCCATGACCAGTGCTGTTGCTGATGCACTGGTTGTGTCTAGCACACAGACACAACTTCAAAAGCAGTAGCAATACAGTACTGTATATTTTTCTTATGTTTATACCATAAATATATGATCTAAACTTGAAAGATTTTTTTAATTTATTTAGATTTCTGGGTATGGTATATCATTGTATATACTGTATTACATTCAAATACAGTACATTCATAGAGGCACATTTCATCAAGATATACATTTTGTTATTGGACACCTCCGCCCCAATAATCACCATGCATCTATCTCAACACATAAGAGTATTCCCATTTTGTAATTAAGTGTTCCCCTAATAGCATTACTGACATACTGCTTAAAGTCTAATAATCAGTTTGATGTGGTACAATTTTCATCATCAATGCTTGTTGGTTGCCTTCCATTGCTGTATGTTAACTTGTGATGTCAGTGCAAGAGGCTTGTAAGTCCTGAAACATACCATACCACAGTATATTTCCTGAAACACTGTCTCCCAACATCATTATAACATTATATCTCCCAAAATGTACCATCTCCCCAAAATACATTCACTCTCCCTATATGCAACATCCTTACACAGTACTGTTTATCATAAAAACACACCATCCCTTACTACATGTCCCTAAATAACATTTACCTTAAAGCACCATTTATTGCTAAATTATAATTCACAGCACACACCATCTGTTACACATCACCACGCAAAAAATGCAGCATACCTTGTCACATTATCACATTACACTAGCACCTTTTCACATTAGCTAGTGTCTTTACAAGAATGTAAAATCAATATCATTTCTATGTACTCTCTTAACCCCCAATGTACCTTCTTGTCTATAAATCTATATAAATAAAAATGTAAATGTTCGTTTGTTCAAAATCGCTAATCTCCAAAAGTTCTTAACCGATTACTTTGAAATTTTCACACAACTTTCCATTCGCATCCAAGCCGGTTTATATATACATACTATATAGATGTCACGTCTGTGATGGTAAAAAAACATGCTTTTTCTAAAAAACTGTGTTTTTTCATGTGAGAGAAATCTTCGAAACCTATTTACCGATTGCTTTGAAATTTTGACACAACGTTACATTTGAATAGGCGCATCCTTTTATATATCTACTATATACATGCCTCACCTGCGACAGAAAAAAACATGCTTTTTTTAAAAAAAAACAGCGCCATCTGTTGGACGTAAGAGCAACACCCGCTGTAATCTCCGAAAGTTCTTCACCAATTGCTTTGAAATTTTGACACAACGTTGCATTCGAATAGGCGCGTCTTTTTATATACCTATATAGATGCCACCCGTGTGACAGGTAAAAACATGCATTTTTGAAAAAGAGCAAAATCTGTTGCACATAATAGCAACATGCACGCTATACTAAATATGTCACGAATTCCATTTTAATGTTTCCGATTGCATTGATAAATTTTATTTTCATAGATTTTGATTTATTTTATTTTTTATTGAATTATTTTGTGTGACATTGTGTTGGAATTAGGATGTGTTGTTTACCATACCGTTCATTTCGTAAGTATAAATATAGATGCCACACCTGTGACAAAACTATGCTTTTCTTGAAAAACAGCGCCACCTGTTGCATGTAAGAGCAACACACATGCTATACTAAATATGGTATAATTCCATTTTAATGTTTCCGATTGCATCTTGAGGTTATCTTGAGATGATTTCGGGGCTTTAGTGTCCCCGCGGCCCGGTCCTCGACCAGGCCTCCACCCCCAGGAAGCAGCCCGTGACAGCTGACTAACACCCAGGTACCTATTTACTGCTAGGTAACAGGGGCATTCAGGGTGAAAGAAACTTTGCCCATTTGTTTCTGCCTCGTGCGAGAATCGAACCCGCGCCACAGAATTACGAGTCCTGCGTGCTATCCACCAGGCTACGAGGCACTACACTTAGGTAATTATACACACAGTTCCTCATCCATTGCCCCATAAAGACAGTTTTGTTTTGCCTAGGTCCCCTCTACCCATAACAGGTGTTCTGGCTGGTAGAAACCAAAGTGCAGCATTATTTAGCTTTCCAAAAAATAAACAGCACATTTCTCAGAAACCCATTAAATCGAAATCCTCAGATTAGGCAAAATTGTAATTAATTTTGTCAATAAAGATGTTAATAATAAAAATCTCAACACACTAAAAGATGGGGGGGGGGGTTTGTTGAAGTTTTAACTCTTCCACTGTACTGACACGGTTGGGATTGATCTCGGTAATTGTGTCCGAAAACGCTCGGCTCAACGCTCAAATGCTCAATCATGCTAACTGTGCTCGGTGCCTGAAACACTATGCATGCTATTGGCTGTACAAGAATGTAAGAACTCTCGTATATATTAAAAAAAAAAAAGTATCCAAAACCTGGGTGACACGGCTGGGAAAGTTTTAAAGTACCGCATAAGATTTAAAAGTCCCTCTCCCCCCTCTGGCTCACATCTGCTTCCTCAGGCTTCCGGTAAACAGATACCATCTTAGAAAAAATTGTGGGCACCTGTCCTGGGTGTGAGAGCCTCAGTATTGAGAAGGGTAACCATGAGCAGTGCATGTAGGAGCAGCGCACAGGCCTGCCATGCATCATGTGTGCACAGCATCATTTAATAATGATGAAATAACTATGATTAGTTAATGATGATAGTGTCATAAAAGATCTTGACTGATAAAAACTATGTGCAAGTTTCGGATATTAGTGAACCCAATGCTAGTTACGATGTTCAGAGAACAAGGCAGACATCCACAGCTGGTGCGTGGTGCAACAATGCGTCATGAAAAAAAGGGACCTGATGTTCCTTTAGAATATGAGCTTGTGAAAAATGCTTCACATTCAGAATCCAGTGACCAAGATTCTGGTAGTACTAGCAGTAATGTGGCTAGAGTTAGCAATGTGCATAATACTGTATATTGGGAGGCAACTTGCTGCATCGGGTGGCATTGCCAACTGAACAATGTGGGTGCTATGCTGTGCTTGGATTATGAGATTATCACACCCACCCAAACTGCTTGTGGTTTGTTATGATGCATAACAAGTACAGTACTAGTTATATATAACATGTACTTACAGTTTAATTACAACAAAAACAGTATGTTTTATTGTTCAAAGAAAATAATATTGCGCATATATTAGTGACATGAATACATGTGTGCATACCAAAATTCTACATGTTCTGTGATATACAATAATACAAATAGTATTACTTTATTGACAGCCCAGTGCATCACTGCACTTAAAAAAAAAAACACGTACAACATTATTATATGAAAACAATATCATGTATTCACTTTCAATTTTGTGCAAAATATGGGGGGCTAGGCTGAACTCTGAGAACTGGTTACATGATTATTACACCCACCAGCACTGCTTAGTGGTTTGTAAAGTTCAATGAAAACATAGATACAGTACTGTAGTTATATACACTGTATAGTGTGTACACAGTGTAATAACAGCAAAATAATATATTTTATTGTTCTAAGAATATAATATGGTATGCATCTTAGTAACATGAATATATTTGAGCATTCCAATGCCTCACACAGTTTATTATACAGTACTGTATAAATTTATAAATTTATTACTGCAAATAAACCAGACAAAAACAAATCGAACATATCGAGATAAATACAGTGGTACCTCGTTTTACAAACGCCCCTGTTTATGAACTTTCGGGTTACGAGCCCGATTTGTTCGGAAAATTTGAATCGGGTTACGAACTTTCCCTCGAGATACGAGTTTGTTGATTCACATACAGCCTACCTAGCGCTTGGTGGCACGGCGATTGCGCCTTAGTTTACCAGTGCCTTGCGCCCAGTGACTATCCCGCCTGAATTTTCCGCAAGGATTTACAGGTTTTTTCGGATTTTTGGCTATTTGAGCATAAAAGTTGTTATTATACATGTCGTCATGGGTTCCAAGAAAGCCAGTGGTAAGGTTCAAGGCAAAAAATCACATGTGAGAATAACCATAGAGGAAAAACAAGAGATTATTCATAAACCATGAAAATGATACACGTGTTGTTGAACTTGCTAGACAGTATAACAAATCTCCAGGAGAGGAGGAGGAGGCAGTAGAGAATGTCCCTTCCTCATTAATTAAGAAAATGTATGCAGTATGGGAAGAACTGCAAAATTTTGCTGAAAAGAATCACCCAGATAAAGCTTTAGCAGGCCATTGCATTGATCTTATTAATGACAATGTATTGTCTCACTACAGACAAGTGTTACAAAGAAGGAAAAAACAATCTTCCAGAAAAAACAATGAGAAAATCATGCAATGAGCCAGAAGCAGGCCCTAGTGGTATGCAGGCAAAATGTGCCAGAGAGTGCACCCCAGAGAAGTCCTCACTGCCTGATGTTATAATGGAAGGGGATTCCCCTTCCAAACAATAACACCTCTCCTCCTCCCCCCTCCTCACTGTCTTCCATATGCCAACAGGAGTCATCAGTAAAGTTAATTAATAACTTGTACATACTTTTGTAATGAAGATTTGGGTGAATTAGGTATAAAATTTACTTTGATGTTAATTTTGGGGGGAGTCAGGAACGGATTAATTCATTTCCCATTATTTCTTATGGGGAAATTTGCTTCGGTTTACAAATTTTCGGGTTACAAACCGTCTCCAGGAATGGATTAAATTCGTAAACCAAGGTACCCCTGTATATACAAATATCTTTGCAATAACTCCTGCCCCACGTCTGGTTCAGGGTGATTGCTCCATGAACACTTATGAATTGTGACCATCAGATTTCCTGGTTTCACCATGGACAAAGTCACAATTTTTTTCCTTGTTATCAGGAAACTCATTTTGCAAAGACATTTGATAAATGTGACAATGGAATGATAGCCTATAAACTGAGGTCAATAGGAGCAACATGTAGAGTAGGGCAATGGATATTTAGTTTTCTGTCAAACAGAATGCAAAGAGTAACAGTCAATCAAATAAAATTGAGCCCAAGCACAGTGAAAACCTGTGTACATCAGGTCACATTCCTTGTACCACTAGAAAAATGATAGGATGGATTACGAGAACCTTCAAATCCAGGGATCCCATCACAATGATAATGCTATTAAAATTATTTGTACTGTCTTGCCTTGAGTACTGCTCGATATACTTACTCCCCCTGCTGAAATAGAGGGAGTACAGAGAACATATATGGCATGCATAGGCATGATAAAACACCTAACCTATTGAGATCATCTCAAAACTCTCCAAATGTACTCTCTAGAAAGGAGATGAGAAAGGTACTATATTATATATATACAGTAGTACTGTACATGGAAAGTACTAGAGGGCCAGGTTACTAATTTGCACAGTAAAATAATAACATACTGGAGTGAACGATATGGAAGGAAATGCAGAATATAGCCAGTGGAGAGTAGAGGTACCCTAGGTACAATCAGAGAACATTGTCTGAATATTAGAAGTCCACAGTTGTTCAATATCCTCCCAGCAAGTATAAAAAATATTGCCAGAACATAATTGGAAGTCTTCACGAAAAACAGGATAGTTTTCTGCAAGATGTGTTGGACCAACCGGGCTGTAGTGGCTACGTGGGCCACTTCAAGAAGCAGCCTGTTGGACCAAGCTCTCACAAGTCAAGTCTGGCCCTGGGCTGGGCAGTAGAACAACTTCCAGAACCCCATCCAGGTACAACACACTCCATTTACACATACAGGGTATAACTGGTCAACCTCTTGTAGTGTTCAAAATAAAACTCGATTAATACATCAAAGGATACCTGATCAATCAGGCTGTGACTCATACATCAGGCTGTGAGTCTGGACATGTGATTGAATAAACTACCACTCGCAGAACAGCCTGGTTGACCAGACCACCAACCAAGAGGCCTGGTCAAGGGGTGCTCATGATTTTTTGTCCAAGATGGCTTCTGTTTACTGGAAACCTGAGAAAGAGGATGAAAGTCCCGTGTACCCATGGGATTTTTTAACCTTATGCTAAACCTGAAAGCCTAGTTGCTGTGCACACCACCGATGAAGCGACCCTGGTCACTATGTGCAGTTGAAGGGTTAAGTTGCGATTCCATCAAGCTGTTTTTAAAAACAGCTTGTTTTTTAAAACATTTTAAAAATGTTTTAAAAGCATACTTTGCCACTTATTTTTTATTTCAAATATTTTTATTTGGGGCACTCCTTGGGATTGCCACTGGTTGGAGGGAATTAAAGCTCTCTCACATGCAGAAGTCTGAACACCTGAAAACCAAGAGGGGTCAAAAGAAAATTAGACCGACTCCTTAAACAATGCCTACAGTGGTATCTAATACTCAGCAACACATGAAGCCTCGTCTGTGTCCAATCCAAGCTGGGAAAGGAAAACAATCAGACTTCTTTTACTGTGGCCTGGACTAAAGGTGAGGCCACAAGCAAAGTCAGATCCTTGTTAAAACACAATAATTCTGCAAGATTCCTGAAATGGATGGAAAGTATGCCCTCAAACACAAATAATTTTGTGCTCAAACTCAGAACTTAGCTGCAGTCCTGCAAGCAGCCCATTGTATAGGTGGTTTGAAAAGGGGTAGCCATCTATACCTAACACATCTCACAGGTTCTCAGGTGAAACCAACACTGAACCATACTGGAGGAATGCAGAAAACAATAAAGGTGGCCTTCAGTCACTAAACTTCAACATAAGACTCTATTCTGCACAATGCAAAGCTTTGCATGGAAGCAAGGTGCTTCAACATGTCTTCCAAGCACTGGGACTCAAAATGATGTCTTGAAATATACATGTCATGCAAATATTTCTGCTGCTTCTGACTACAGTACATACTAGGAAGAACTTTTACACCTAGGCCCATGTTTCTGAATAGCTTTAGCCTAACACAGTTGCCCGATGGATGGAAAAATGCAAGCGACCCTAGTGAAAATGTCCAAAAACAGGCCCACAGCATGACCTGTGGTAGAAATTGTTCACGACCTTTGTGAGACCAAAGTTGGAATTTGCAGTTGTTGTATGATGCCCATATCTTAAGAAGCACATCAACAAACTTGAAAAGGTGCAAAGACTTGCAACTAAATGACTTTTGTAACTGAAAGATAAGAGCTACAAGGAGAGATCAGAGTCATGGGAGAAATAATGGGAGTCAAATTTCAAGAGAAAGTGGTCATAGATTTAAGCTAACAAAGCTGCAGAAAAAATATTAGAAAATTTATTTTCGTAAGCAGAGTGGTAGACAGTTGGAACAAGTGAAAAGGTAGGTGGTAGAGACCAAAACCATCAGAAGTTTAATGCATTATATGAAAAAGAGGAAGATGGGACACCACAATCATAGCTCTCATCCTGTAAGTACACTTGGGTAACTACAAATAAGTCCATGCCAACAAAGCACTTGCAAAGGAAAGGCCGACCAGTCCTGACGCACCAGTAAAGACCTTAGCTCCCTGTCCGATGGTGGAGAGAACTGTATTTGAAATGATATGGGTTTATTAAGCTAAGCCACTATTATGCACCACCAGCAATACATTTTAAACCCAAGAACAAGCCAGAAAAACAAAATGAAGGACACTTGAAAGAATACTTACCAGAAACCCCCTTACTAAATAAAAATAAGCCTTGTCTAGAAGATTCAAAGACCTTAAACAGTGAAAAATTCAATGTGTGAAAATCCAATCCTTTCCTGATGATTGATATGAGGCTCAGTAAGGAAGCACATGTGGTGGCTCAGGAGTGAGGGACAGGGAGGTGTGTATGGAGTCGCCTAGTGGTGATTGGCAGAGGTATTCAAGCCAGTCTAATTACCTAACTTAATTACTTAGTAATTACTAATTAATTAGTAATTACCTAACTGTAGTTACAGGATAAGAGCTATGCTCGTGGTGTCCCGTCTTCCCAGCACACTTTGTCATATATCGTATTATATGACATATAATGCATTATATGTAACAATATATATATACAACGTATGTAATGCGTTACATATACAGTATATATAATGCATTACGTATATATGTAATGCATAATATAATATAAAAAATTATATTAAAGATTAGTATCTAATCAATTGTGCTTCTTTGGCAGTCACCTGCAATGTCAATGGAAGGGAGGTATTTCCAAAGGATTTAGAGTCTTACGAATGAACTGCTGTCAGCCATTCTGTGCTGGATTAAGATATTGCTTTATCTTGCAAAAATGATTTAGATAACCCAATTCTAAAGAAAGGAGACCACATAAATCCCTCCAACTATGGCACAGGTTATTTTACCTTCTACATCTCTAAATTTTCAATCTCTGCGAGATTATCACACAGTACTGTATTTTAAAACATATTAAACTTAAAAATCTTCTTTCTGATCAATATGGCTTCAGAAAGGCATGCAGCAGCAGTTGTCAAGCTAAAGGAAACATGATGATAAGATGCTTTTCAATGAAGAGCAGGAATTTACCATGACAATTTAGTGTGACTATCTGTTAAAAGCTTGATGAAGGAGTATGGCTTTGGTATGAGTACTTATTTTTTATATTAAAAGCGAAAATCTTCATCTTACGGATTTTTTTTTTGCTAAGTGTATGTGATGATAAAAGCAGTGGTTATAGGAAAATACTGAAGGTTGGTAAACATGATGAGTTTAATGCTACTGTGTACAAGTGATGAACACAGCAATGCAATGCAGGTCAGGTGGTTGGTGCCAAACATAATTAGGTTGAAGCAGCATAAGCTGGTTTGCAACTTAAGCATTACTAACTTAGAAGTTCTGACTGGGTTACCAGATTAATGCATGGGCATGCCAACTAATTCCAAAAAGGTAAAGCCTTATGTAGTGATAAAGTACATGTTGATTCGTGTAAGCAGAAATTAAATTTTGATTAGTACTTTTCAATTACATTTCTTCCAAGCTTGAAATGCAAGACTCGCTTGTACTGGATAAGTTTGCTAAATAATGTTTGGCTAATAGGCTTTAGGAGATAGACCATAAAGCTGGTAAGGAAAGTTTGAAGTGTAGTATGCGCAAGGCAGATGACTCTCACAGGACTGAGAATGTTATTGAAGATTAAGGCTGTAAAGCCAAGATCATTAACAAATTACTTCCACGGACTACTGTACCTCTAGTTTAAAAAAATTCAAGGAGTGCCTGGTTTGCATGTGACATATTTTTAGTGGGTCAACAATCATTTCTGCAAAGAGGTAAAGGAATATCAGATTAAGCATTTGGGACTGAGGTATGATTTATGATTAGGTTCAGGCACTGGTGCTGTTAGAAGATACCACAGCTCACCCTGACAATGATAACTTAAAATCAAGTGATGGCACAGTACCCTGTATGACATCACCACTTAACACCACAGCTCTCATCTAGTCCAAGGATCAAGGTGTTATCTAAGTAATAAAGAGGCTCTGTAAAGAAAGAGGTGCTAAATATGATTTAGGTAGTATTGAACTCGTTGAAAAGAGTACACAATCCTCCAAAAAATATTTGTTATTAAATCTTTTATCACATCAGTGTGGGATAAATTATTAAACATTTGCACAGACGCAAACAATTATGTGTTTGCATTTGTACAAGAATGTAAGAACTCTTGTATACAAAATAAATAAATAAATAAATAAATAAATAAATATTACTTCTGTCCCCTTGTATTTAAGTAATATATTTTTTCTTTCTAAGTGATATAAAGTTATGATGTAGATAGAGAAATACAGTAAAATTCCTTTTCAAAGTACTGTAGTGATTTTGCACAGTAAAAGTCATGCTCAGAAACCAGTTTTGCCTCTGCTGAAAGTAATTATCCAAGTGTACAGTACAGGAAGTTACAGGAGGAGAGCTATGATCGTAGTGTCCCAGTTTTCATATAACCATCATATGACGTTTTGAATCTTCCAATGGTTAAAGAATGCACTTTCCTCTTATTTAAATTATTCCATCCATCTAACACACTATTTGCAAAAAGAATACAAATATTTATGATAGTTTCTGGCACCTTTATTTTCTTTGTTGAAATTTATGGCCTCTTGTTATCAATATTGCAATTATAAATATCTATTCTTGTAAATTTTGTAAATTCTGGTAACAATTTTGTATGTGGTGATCATGTCACTTCTTTCTTCTGTCTACTAGTTTTAACATAACTGCTGCTTTAACACTACTGTACTGTGTAATCCTACTCGAACGGATTACTTGGAGCCTCTTCCATTCCATATCATCTTCCACTGCATTTGGCATCTGCACTGGCTCGAACATTCAATATTTTTTTTTTTTACCAGGAACTGTGTAACATGCATTAATTCATATATTTACACATTCATAATTTTAAAACTAGATGTGATAGGGAAACAGGAAGTGAGTCATTGCTATAAACAATCGGCGGCTAGAAAGGCGAGATCCAAGAGCCAATGCTTCATCCTGCAGGCACAAATAAGGGAGTGCATTCATACTGTAATATCAAATCTATGTTGTAATGCAGCTGTACGGTATAATCAGAAAAATATAACATGATACTATATGCAAGAAAGAACTGATTTTACTTTGGAGTGAAGCTCCACTTACCTTGTGACTTTCAAGTGGTCAGGTTAGGTGTCCTTGTTCTAATGGAACTTGCAAACACTATTTCTATTTCTATAATACCTATTCCATCAGAAACAAAATGAATGCAAATGCTGTATATACAGTACTCCTTCAATAGGCCACTTTCATGCATCATCAGAAATTACCTCTTTTTGTGAAGTTATATTTTTCTTCATATACTGTATATACAGTATTAATGGTTTTACTTCCAGCTCTCTCTGTGCCAATCACCATCAATGGCCTCCTCGCCTGCAGCATTTGCATTTGGTATTGTGTGTGTGTTTGAGGGAGTCTTGCTAGCTTTCTGCACATCTCTTGTATGGTTTTGCTCTCCATCTTCTTTAAATTTACACCCCTTTAAATTTTGTTGTGCTCATGTCTTCACAGTTCAGTTCATTTCCTTTCTTTGTGAGGCAGGTATTTTAGGGCACTTTCGCTTCTAGCTTCTGGCTTGGCTTTGGTCCACAGTGCAATACTTTTTCAGGGCATGTCGACTATTTTAGCAGTCGATTTTCTTTCTGTCCATTTTGACAGCATGGAAGATGGATTGGGCCTCTATACCCAAGATTTGCAGAGCATTCAGTCATGCACAGGAGGGACTGTTTGTCTCGATGCATTTGCGGAGGCTTTTGGTCTACAGGTGCTATAAGTGGGACTTTGTAAAACATGTTAGTCCTTTCATACTCAATAACAGTCCATTTAAATGTAACAAAAAATACAGAAAACATTTAAGAGTCTACAGGATCGTCTAACGGTAGCATAGAAGAAAAAAATACATATTGGGTACAGGAAAAATGCATAAACCCACCAAGTCTAAAAGGTATTTAAACCAAAAAAATAGGTCACATTAAATGGACCCAACACATTACTGTAATTAATTTTTAACAATTGTTAAACTACAATTCATCATTTTCAAATATATTTACTCAAATTTGGAATTAACAGGTACAGTATTTTTAATGTACTGTACAGGTACTGTGTTCTGATATACAGTACAGTATATCATCAACACTAATCTAAATGAGTTCTGGTGCAAAATGTCATCAGTGGCCCAAATACACACATGATTTGAACAAGAGGAGATTGTAATTACCTAAGAGTAGTTAAAGGATGAGAGTTACGCACGTGGTGTCCCGTCTTCCCAGTACTCTTTGTTACAGTGTAACGCTTTGAAACTACTGACGGTTTTGGCCTCCACCACCTTTTCACTTAACTTGTTTCAACCGTCTGCCACTCTGTTTGCAAAAGAGTACCTTCCACCTCCACCTTGCACCTTCTAATATTTTTTCAATACATTTGTTTCATTAGCTTGAATGAATTTCAATTAGCTTGTCCTTTTGTTCTTGAAATTGCTGGTTTCAGGAACTCCTCTTCGTCAATTTGGTCGATTCCTGTTACTATTTTGTAAGTGGTTATCATATCTCCTTTATTTCTTCTATCTTCTAGTTTTGGTATGTTTAACATCTTTAGTCTCTCTTTGTTGTTCAGTTCTGGAAGCCATTTTGTAGCATGCCTTTGCACCTTTTCCAGTTTATTTATATGCTTCATGACATATGGATACCATACAACTGCTGCATATTCTAATTTTGATCTCATAAAAAGTCATGAACAGTTTAGTATTTTAGCATCTATGTAATTAAAAGCAAGTCTGAATTTAGAAAGCGACACATACACTCCTCCCTCAATGTTCTTTGTGTGTTCCTCTGGTGACAGTTTACTATCCAAAACTACCTCTAGATCTCCTTTTTATTTGAGTTCTTTAATTCCTTTCTACATAATTTGAAGTTGTGTATGGTCTAGTTTCTCCGATTCCACATTCCATAACATGGCATGGCATATCTCCTCTTCTTTCCTGGTGAAGTCTGTGGTACTCCACTAGCACTCCACTAGTAACACAAGGGGACCCAGGTGGAAACTTAGTACCCAGATGAGCCACAGAGACGTTAGAAAGAATTTTTTCAGTGTCAGAGTAGTTAATAAATGGAATGCACTAGGAAGTGATGTGGTGGAGGCTGACTCCATACACAGTTTCAAATATAGATATGATAGAGCCCAGTAGGCTCAGGAATCTGTACACCAGTTGATTGACAGTGGAGAGGCGGAACCAAAGAGCCAAAACTCAACCCCCGCAAGCATAATTAGGTGAGTACTCCTCCAGTCAAATACAATGTCTCTAATTACTGCCCTCATCAGTCTCTTAGAAAATTTTTGATCCATGTCAGAAATCTCCCTGTCAACCCCTCTAGCATGTTCCAGTTTCTAGAACTGAAAATTTTGTTTCCAAGATTCATCCAAAAATAAAAATTCCCCAAAATTCTAAATTCCTCATTTTGTACAAACACACTTTGGAACTGTTCATTTAGTGTTTCACACATTTCTTTTTCATTCAGTGTAAACCTGTTCCCCATTCTAAATCTCTGTATTTTATCCTTTACATGCAGCTTGCTTTTAATATATTTTTAGAAAATGCCTGGAACTGTTTCATATTTATCTGCTACCCCTTTCTTTCTCTTTCTCGACGTTTCTTCTGCCTTTCTCTTTACCTCTGTGTATATATTTCTTGATTGTAGTGCTGGTATATTTGAGGGCTAGGTCGCTTCCTGTAGTGTACCCATTTTCTTGTCTTTTCCTCTCTGTCCCTCATATCTTCTGTTGAGCTAATCCTGTTTTCTAGTTCTGCATCTGTTTTGGTATAAATTTTGTTGTGCCTTCATCCTATATTTCACATAATTTGGCATACATATGATTTAGAGTATTGCCTTGCCTAGCAACAAATCTTTCCAATTACATTCATTAAAGAATTTGCTAAGCTCCCCATAGTGTCCTCTTTTGAAATAAAGTTTATCAACTGTTTCAATGTCCCCATTCTCTTCTAGATTATATCGCAAAGCATATTTAATTTCCAACAGGACATGATTACTTTTTCCTAAGGGAAGAAGGTGCTGATGTCAAATAACTCCTCTTCTTTCCTGGTGAATATTAAGTCCAGTATTGATGGAACATTCCCTTCCCTCAATCTTGTGGCCTGCTTGATGTGTTGATACATGAATGTCTCCAGAATGAGGTTAACAAATCTGCCTGTCCAAATGTCCTCTGTTCTTGCTTCATAGGCCTCCCAGTCTATTGTTTTCAAGTTGAAGTTCCACAGTACCAACAATCGTGATTTATCTTTATCTGCTCTTACTATAATCTCTCTCATGACCATTATGAAGCCCTCTCATTTGTCATCTAGTTCATCCTTTGTCCATGTGTTGCTTGTGGTGGGCTGTAGACATTTACTGTCATTAGTTTATCATCCTGACTCCAAACCTGCAATGCCATTATGTCAACTTCTCATGGGTTGTCAATTATTAACTCCCTTACCTTTAGGTGTTCTTTCACCAGCTCGGCCACACCTGTAGCTGTGTGGCGCACCCGATGGTGCGGGTGCTTTCTAGGAGCATTTTTCATTTAATGAACAAATGTTTCAACCACTGTGATGCGCCGCATTTATTGTGACATTCTGGCTGTACGCCGAAAATAAAGTGTTCCAAAAACAGTATTTGTTCTTTTGATATTGTTAATTAGCATCCAGGAAGCATGAAAATCCAAGTACAGTATAAAGTCTCTATC